GGGCTAAAGTTACTCCATCAGAAAAATATGATGAAAAATCTACCGGCCATCCAAATGAACAACAATCTCTGTGAAAAGTGCATGGAGGGAAAACAACATAGGAAACCATTTCCTTCAAGCCAAGAAGGAAGAGCCAAACAAATACTGGAGCTGGTGCATACAGACGTGTGTGGACCAATGAGAACGCCAACCTTCGAGAAGAACAGGTACTTCATCCTATTTATTGATGACTACACAAGAATGACTTGGGTATACTTCATAAAAGAGAGATCAGAAGTCTTCTCTATTTTCAAGAAATTCAAAGCCTCGTTGAAAATCAGAGTGGAAGAAGAATTAAAGTACTTCGGAGTGATCGAGGTACAGAATACACATCCAAGGAGTTCAACAAATTCTACGAGGATGAAGGAGTCAACCATCAGCTAACTGTTGGCTACGCTTCAGAACAAATTGGCGTGTCAGAAAGGAAAAACAGAACCGTGCAAGAGATGGCCAGGATAATGCTTGCGGAAAAGGATATGCCTAAAGAATTTTGGGCAGAAGCTGTATACACCGCTGTCTATCTACTCAACAGGTGCCCTACTAAAGCTGTCCAAAATAAAACTCCAATAGAAGCTTGGAGTGGACGAAAACCGTCAGCCCAACATTTACGAGTCTTTGGGAGTATCTGCTACGTGCACATCCCAAAGGAAATGAGGCATAAACTTGAGGAGAAATCCGAGAAAGGTATATTCCTCGGCTATGCGTCTCAATCTGAAGGATACAGAATTTACATCCTCAAGACTGGTAAACTAATTATCAGTCGAGATGTTGAGTTCGATGAAAATGCTGCGTGGAACTGGGAGGAAGAAAAAGTCGAATACCAAAATATCATGGTACCTGCATCACGGAGGCAAAATATCATACCGGAAGAACAAGAAGATGAAGCAGAAGGTACACAATCACCTCTAGATCCACAATCCTCCAGTCCGAGGACATCATCACCATTAAGCGACGAACAGTCATCCCCTGAATCACCACCAAGAAAAGTACGAACACTCAGGGAGATCTACGAGACATGCAATTTTGCCACGATGGAACCAGAGAACTTTGAAGCAGCAGTAAAGCAAAAGGAATGGGTAAAAGCCATGGAGGAAGAAATCAAGATGATTGAGAAGAATAAAACTTGGGAGTTGGTCGATTCACCAAACAACAAGGAAGTCATTGGAGTTAAGTGGGTCTACAAGACGAAGCTTAACCCAGATGGCTCAATCCAAAAACATAAAGCACGACTGCTAGCTAAAGAGTACTCACAACTTCCGGGGATCGACTACAACGAGACCTTCGCTCCAGTTGCTCAGTTAGATACTATAAGGACTCTAATCGCTCTCGCGGCCCAGAAGAAATGGAAAATCTACCAGCTCGATGTAAAGTCAGCATTCCTCAATGGCTATCTAGAAGAGGAGATCTATGTCGAACAACCTTAAGGGTTCGTGGCAGAAGGACAAGAAAATAAAGTCCTAAAACTAAAAAAGGCGCTTCATGGATTAAAACAAGCCCCACGAGCTTGGTACAGCCGAATTGATGACTACTTCACCAGTCATGGATTCAAAAGAAGCGAAATTGAGCCAACACTCTATATCAAGACCCAAGGTAACGACAACAAACTCATTGTTTCTCTTTATGTTGATGATCTTATTTATACAGGGAACAATGAGGAGATGATTAACGAGCTCAAAGAAGATATGATGAAGACCTTTGAGATGACTGACCTTGGGCAAATGAGCTATTTTCTCGGCATTGAGGTAACCCAAGACGAAAACGGGATATTTATCTCACAGAGGAAATACACAAATAATCTACTAAAAAGGTTCAAGATGGACGGTTGTAAACCCGTAGCTACTCCCATGGTAGCAAACGAAAAATTCAGCAAAGACGACGGTACGCCAAATGCAGACGCTTCCACATACCGAAGCCTAATTGGAAGCCTACTATATTTAACGGCCACAAGACCAGATATCATGTACGCAACAAGTCTATTGTCGAGGTTCATGCAAAGTCCGAGTCAAGTTCACTATGGAGCTGCGAAGAGAATACTGCGATATTTGCAGGGTACTAAAGACTACGGAATCAAATACGAATATAACAAAGAATCAAGACTGATCGGATACACAGACAGTGACTGGGCTGGATCAATTGACGATATGAAAAGCACCTCAGGCTACACATTTTCACTTAGCTCAGGCATATTCTCATGGTCATCTAAAAAGCAAAACTGTGTGGCACAAGCTTCAGCAGAGGCCGAGTACGTCGCAGCAGCATTAACGACAAGTCAAGCTATTTGGCTTAGGCGTATTCTTGGATACATGGGAGAACACCAAGAAAGTCCAACAGAGATATACTGCGACAACAAGTCAACGATAGAAATGGCGAAAAATCCTGTACATCACTGCAGAACCAAACACATTGCTATCAAATATCACTTTCTACGTGAAGCCACCAATGACAAGCAGATAGAGCTCACGTATGTCGCCACTGCAGATCAACTTGCAGATATTTTCACAAAGGCTTTACCGAGACCAAGATTCAAAAGTCTGCGCGAAAAACTTGGGATTATTCAAATGAGCATTAAGGGGGAGTGTTAAATTAATGCTCATTAGAAATTAGTTGGCAGTTGAATTAATGCTCATTGAAATCTAGAAAATGTACTAATCTAGCAATTATGATAGGCAAAAGAATCTAGACAAAAATCTAGTCTAAGGCGGTGGAAAAAATCTAGATAATTAAGAATAAAAAATATAGTATCCACTGACCTATAATGTGTATATATATGTAATGAGGCTCAGAGAGTGGTTGTATCAAGAAAGCTATTGCTACTTAAATAACTCACTGCACCAAATAAAAAATCAAATCTTTTTCTTACAAAATTACACGATATCTTCATATATATTTAGATACCATCATATTGCTTTCTTTTGCTAAATATTGTATAATACTTAATTAGTGGTGTTGTCAAATTAATCATCATCCTTTAATTATGTGAAGTTAATTTAAACTCTGGTGGAATTAATCATTAATTCGATCAAAAAACATTGATGTCATCATGATTTCACAATTTTCCACTTTAATTAATCTTGAATGCATGGTGTTTATGTTAGAACTAGTACAGTACCCATGTATTACATGGGTGTTGAATTAGAAAGTTTTTGCAAAAATATTAAATTTTTTATTTTTTTAAAAAACTAAAATAATTTAATTTTATATAAAACATTACTTTGGGTTTTAATTAAATTGTCAAATTATATTTTTTTAATCATAATAATTAAACACCCGTACATTTAATGAAAATGTCAACCCGTGTTGAATTTTTTACTTGTATCATATAAAAATATCAATATTATTTACTATTACATAAGTACAAAATATATATCTTAAATAAATAGAAATAATATGGTGATATGTATATGCATAAGTGTAGAATATATTTATTTAATATTAAACAACGTAGATTAATTTTTTTACTTAATTAGATGCCTAATACATCAAGTGTCGTATCAGTCGTGCTTAACAATTTTTTAACTTTATATGTAATTTTAGAATTTAAATAAATAATTATTTATTTTTATTACATAAACAACATACCAATTAGATTTGAAATAAATATCATTTTTAAAAGAATACATACCAATTTCTATTACTTTATAATATAATTTATAATTTTATTTGATATAATTTAATTTAGTTTGATAAATAAATTTAAATTTTATTTATAAGGATGTATATTACTGTTTTGTATTATATATATAAATAAATAGTAAAATACAAACAGATTTCATAATATCTATTCGAATGCAACACGCTAATTAAGATTTTTTTTTCTTGATAATATTAACCCTATTTAATGGATGTTATGGGAAATGATGAAGATGAGATATGAAGAGACACTGTGTGTTAGATAGAGAGGTAAAAATAAAAAAATATTAACAAAATATCTAAAACGACATTTATTTTATCAATGATCAATTAAGCCAAAGTGACAGATAATGAAAATAGGATGGAGTATATATTATTATATATTTTAGTATGACACATGTTACTTGTGCGACTTATGTGCAATATTATAATAAATTTTTTACCTTATAACATATAACTACATTAAACATAAATATATTAATTGATAATAATTTTATTTTCTAATTAATGTTAATAAATAATTTTTTTTATTATTATAAAGATAAATATAATTATTTATTTTATATACAATATGGATGTCAAATCGAAGCTCATCAAAAGATGATTAATTTGATATATTATATATGTAAAACCGATAAGAAATATAAAAGTTATCAACTTTTAAAATATATTATCAATTCAATGGCTATAATATGAAACGATTTAAAATAAAATTAATATAAATATTAATTTATATCCAACCCTAACTCCAAAGCATAATTTTTTGCCAAATATGATTCCGAAGCATTCTAAAATTATATATAGAGGGGATATATAGAGGGGATATGGAATTTTTCTCTTAAGTTTAAACTTTATACATTGAGTATTTCAAAACAAAATGTCTATATAAGTTTATGACTAAACATTGAATAGGTCAATATTTTGTTGTTGATCTAGTTAAAGATGTATATTATTAAGTTCAGATAAAAAAAGCAAAAATGATTCCAATTGCTACGAAATGTTTTCTATTTACATTTTAAAATGTTAGCAACATGGTACATTATGTTATAAGTAGGAAAAACGCCATATGTCTATAATTGAGGGGGCAGAAATTAAAATTCACCCGAAAATGGAATCCACATACTGTTTTCAGAAATTCAAAAGCTTGCATGATTTACACGGATGAGGTGAATTGACGGACGTGCCCTCCGTGCTGCAAAATACGATTATCCAAAAGCAAAAAAAAAGTTGGTGCTCTTCTTTTATGCATGCACTTTAATGTTAATCAGATTTGTGGGTAACGTTACAAGTGCCCGTATTTGTTCTTTATAAATACGGACCATAGCCATTCATTGTTAGCCCATCAAACACACTAAGTTTTCATTTTTGAAATCCAAATTCTTAAGTGTAAAGCTTTCCCAGCGAGAGGAAAGAAAATAAAAAAATGGCATTTCTCGCAGGACACTGGGCTTTTGTGTTTGGACTTCTTGGTAAATCAATATAGTAATTTTAATTATTGTTTGTAATTTTATTTATTATTTTTTTTTTGGCTTCTCCTGTTACACGTGCATTTAAAAATTGATTTATCATAAATTGTATAGTTTTCCAATCATTAAATTCAGTAATTAACAGGGCATGGCACAATCATGCACAAGTCACATATGATTTTCTTACACAAATATAGCATAGATTTTACTTATGTACTTGTTTCACAACTTCATAAACACTTGCCAAGTCGTAAAAAGACATGATCGATAAAGAATGTAAAATCATGTTGTGCGATGGAAAAAAAATATATGTTATGAATTTTAGTTAAATAGTTTCACGAATTATGCCATAATAATACTTTTATTTTGATTGTGCAGGCAATATTGTCTCGTTCATGGTGTTTCTTGCTCCTATGTAAGAAAAAAGTTATTACAATCAACTTCCTTAAATCATTCTACCATACATATCTATATATGTGTTGTCTAATTAATCTAAATAAATTTATTGCAGCTCGACTTTCTACCAAATTTACAAGAAAAAATCGAGCGAAGGCTATCAGTCAATCCCATATGTCGTCGCTCTATTCAGTGCCGTGCTATGGATATACTATGCCTTCCTCAAGACTAACACCACACTTCTCATCACCATAAACTCGGTCGGCATTGTTATTGAGACAATTTACATTGTACTTTATGTTGTCTACGCCTCAAAGTCAGGAAAGGTACGTAAAAAAAATAATAATAATAAAATTACTAATTAAATAGTTATTTCACATTTTTTTTAAAAGAAAAATATGAGTTGCATCTTTTTTCACATTTAATTGAATTAATGCAGATTCAAACGGCGAAGCTTCTTGGTTTGCTCATGGGATGTGGGGTGGGATTGATTGTTGTGACTCATTTCCTCGTGAAAAGTCCCGTGCAACGTGCCACCATTGTTGGGTGGATTTGCCTAATCTTTTCTTTGTGTGTGTTTGTTGCCCCCTTATGCATTGTGGTGAGTATAATAAAATGGATTGAACAAGAAATACAATATGTACATATATAGAGAGAATAAATTAAGTATGTAAATTATTATAAGTGTGGATATTTATATATATTTATATAAATTTTGCAGAGACATGTTATACGAACCAAGAGCGTGGAGCACATGCCGTTCCTTTTATCGTTCTTCCTCACCCTTAGCGCGGTTATGTGGTTTTTCTACGGCTTATTGCTAAAAGACTTTAACATTGCGGTAAGTATATAAACATCATTCAAATATTAAGCAATATTAATAAAAAACATTCAAAAATTATGTTACCTATATATTCATCCTTTGTTGTCAATTGTATATACAGATTCCGAACGTGCTAGGGTTCACCTTCGGCATCCTCCAAATGGTGCTCTACCTAATGTACAAAAACCCAAAAAACAAAAAAATGGAAGAGCAAAAACTTCCTCAGACACAAAAGCAAGTTGTGGTACTCGATCATGAGGACAAAAAAAAGGTCGAGATCATAAAGATTAATAACACAATCGACAAAATTCCGTCCGTGCCCCTGTCGTGCAAAAATGAAGTCGAGCCAGTAATATCTCTGCCCCAGAACATGCCCAGGCATTGTGAAGTTTGATATGGGGCATGCTTAACTGAGTTGCATGGCATCTAATTAGTTAATTAGCTGTTAGTAATCGAATAAATAATATTTGTCTAATTTGCTTTCCTTATAATAGTTTGGGCTCTGCTGGGAGACAGCAGACTTTAGTATATATGTAATTTTTTTCTTTCTGCAATGTTCGTGACTAATGAAAAAGTGGATGCCATTTGCTATATATACATAAATATGCCTGAGCGTTCTTATTTTGTTCTCTCTTTTTCCCTTTGTAAACTAATTATAGTTGAAGGTTTTGATTACCTTACCAAATATATTTATGCAATTCTAATGTAGAGATTTGGAGCAAGTAGATCATGTCCAATTGGACGGAAAGCCTGGGATAAAATGATGATTACGAGTTACATTTTATTCACTTTTCATAGACTCATGTCCAATTGCTAAACTCTTGGCCAATAGACTCAAGTCATCCCTTTCTGTGTGTATTTCCCAAGCACAAGCAGCTTTTGTTCCTAATAGGCAAATACTAGATATTGTTATATTGGCCAATGAATGCATCCACTTTTTGAATAGTAAAAAAAGAGGGAAAACTGCCTTTATGACCCTCAAATTAGATATGGCGAAAGGCTAAGACCGGGTGGAGTGGGATTTTCTTATTCTTGTGGGTAAGAAGATGGGATTTGTGATCTTTTCTTGAGGTGGGTGAGAGCCGTCTTTCTTCTTCTTCTTTTTCTTTTAATTTTGATGGGCAAGCTTGTGGTAATCTTATCCCTTCTAGGGGGCTGAGGCAAGGGGACCCTCTGTCCCCTTACCTTTTTATTATTTTATCAGAAGCTTTCTCTAATTTAATCCATCAGGCTTGTGAGTTTCAATCTTTTCAGGGGCTAAAGCTTAGTAAATTTTCTCCTACTATCTCCCATCTTTTTTTCGCTGATGATTCCTTGATCTTGTGCAAAGCTGATTATCACCATGCTAATGTTTTGTTTGATATCATATCTGTCTACTGTGGTGCCTTGGGTCAAGCGGTTAATTTGAATAAGTCTAGCATCTTCTTTTCCAAGACCACTTCTGAGACTGTTAAAGTTGAGATTTGCAGGAAATTTCATGGGATTATTTAGGCTAAAAAGGCCAAATACCTAGGATTACCCTTGGGTATTGGCAGGAACAAGAGAGAGACGTTTGCCTTTGTGAAAGAGAGTGTAGTGGCTAAAGTTACTAGCTGGAAGAATAGATTCCTTAGTGAGGCAGGGAGGGAAATCATGATAAAAACTGTTTTTAATTAGTGCTTTGCCTAATTATGTATGTCAGTTTTCAAAATTCCTATGAGTGTGTGTGAGGATATTGGTAGGGTTGTAGCAGGGTTTTGGTGGGGTAAGAATGGGGAAGGGGGCAATAGGATTCATTGGGCTAGTTGGGACAAATTGGCTAGACCTAAGATGGATGGGGGGTTGGGGTTCAAAGAGATTAAAGAGTTTAATGAAGCCTTGTTGGTTAAGCAATTATGGAGATTATTAACTAAGCCCAATATTTTGATGAGTAGGGTGATTAGAGGCAAATACTTCCATCCCAATGAACAGTTTTTGACATTAACACTAATTTTTTGAATAGTTTTTTGCAAATCGCATAATGGTTATTGTTGTCGATATTTTCATAATTGTAGTAATTATTTATACAAAAAATATAAAACACTTTTTAAATTATAAATTACACAATTTAGTTGGCAATTTTTACCAAATCACACAATTGATATTGCAGCCAAAATTACCATATTTGGATAAATCAGCCAAATTTACATTATTTGAGTAATTAATGTACCTTAAAAATGATTTTTATGGTTAATTATTTTTTTAAATAATGAGCCGCAATTTCCATAACTGATTATTTGAAATATATCATAAATTGTTAATTAATTTTCCGAAATAGTAAATAGACTTTTTTTAGGGAAATAGTTACTATTTAAAAATAATCAAACCTTTATATATATACTAGTACGAATCCCGTGCGATGCACGGGTAAGAGATATTAATTAATATTTATAAAAATTTTCATTAATAATATTTTTAAATTAGAAATATGGAATCAATATGTAATACAATGTACCTATATAATTTATTGACAATGTTATATAAAATTTAAATTGTGAAAAATTACATAAAATGTCTATTTAAAATTAGTACACATCATGTGCGTTGCACATAATTGATAATAAATTATATTATATCATTTCAAAATATGTGTCATTTCAAAATTTTATTAAGAAATTCGATTTGACTATAAAGTGATTCCATAAAATAGTTATTTTGGTAGGATTTTATCATATATTTAAAAACCTATGTGAATAATAAGTATAAATATAAAAATATTGTTTAATTAATTAAAATAAATTTATTTTTGAATAAAATATCCAAATCAAAAACTTTAAGTAGTTGAGTAAAAGCAATCAATCATAAGATTTTTTATGCCGAAAAAATTGACACTCTTTATCATGCTAAAAAAATGAGCAGTGCATTCCACAAAAAAATTATTTGAAAAGTTGTAACAGAAAATGAATTAAATTGAGACCCACTAATTATACAAAAAAAAAAAAAATTTTGACCAGAGCTTTTTCTATAAAAAAAATANATAGAAACAACCATCAATACCAAAAATAAATTTGTCCACTATATACCATATATTAATTAATTCACATGATTTGAGTAATTAAGGTATCTTAAAATATGTTTAATTTACTTCCTTAAATAATGAGCTGCAATTACCATATGTGATTATTTGAAATATACCATAAATTGTTAAATTAATTTTCCGAAATAGTAAATAACTTTTTTTGGAGGGAAATAGTCACTATTTAAAATATAATCAAACCTTATATATATATATATATATATATATATATATACATATATATATATATGTGTGTGTGTGTGTGTGTGTGTGTGTGTGTGAGAGTAAATTTTGTTCCATATCCAAAGGGCCTGCAATCTAAACTCATCAAATTTGATAATTATATTAATGTACAAAGTAATACATAATCCCACCCTTTATATTAATTCAAAGTATGTGTGATCGAACTCCGTCTCGGCGCTTATTTAAAGCCATCAAACAACAAGAAGGTAGCCAACAACAATCCACCCGTCTTACGAAATCAAACCTGAAACTTTTCTACACATGATTCCAGAAAAGAAAAGATAGTTCAAGTGAGGGGAAGCTGAACAATGTAGCTGTAGCTGTGCCTAAGTGGCGGATTCTCACGCTTCGGATGCTGACATGACGAAAATCTATGTTTCGTAATGTTGTTTGTATATTTATTTTTGCTTTAGAGTTAGACTTGGTATTAAACATAAATAGCTTTTTTTAAACTTGGTAAAAGTATATTTAATTTTGTTATTTTTTTCTCTTAGTAAACATTTTCTTCTTAGTCTGGACAAATAGCAATGTGACCATATTTAACTTCCTCTCATATTTTTCTCTTAAATTAGGACTTACAAATCATTCTTTGCACTGTCTATCCTTTTTTTTTCATCAATTAGTCCATTAAAATTTTGAAGTATTATTTTAGCAATAACTTTTATCATATATTTTTTAACTCAACATTCGTGTACTACACGAGTATTGTAATAGTAATATTTCGATCATTACACTTTCTTTTCTACTAGTATTCGACCCTGTGCATTTGCACAAATATAAATAAAATATTATAAGTTATTTATATACATATAAATTAAAATTATAAGTTAGATAATGGTATTAAATATTATAAGTTATTTATATACATATTCTTATTAGATGGTGATCATATTTTTATTAAATGAACACTTATTTTTATTAAATGAACTACTATTATTATTAATTGTTGGTTGAATAAAATTTATTGAAGCTTGGCAACAATTATATTATATATATATATATATAAATTTCTTCTTCGGTAAGTAAAGGTCATTTCATTTGCACAATTTCTTTTTGAGAAAACCTAGAGGTGGCCAGTCAACGGACCATGGCCCGGACCGGCCCGGCCCGCCGGGTCGGCGGGTCTCAAAACCTAGGCCCGTGATCGGCCCACTTATTGAACCGGCCCGGCCCGGTGGTTCAGTGAATCGCCGGTTAAAAAAAATAAATAAATAAAAAATAAATTTGTAACTGTAGCCCGTCGAAAAATCTGGACCCGGCCTGGTCCGGCGAGTCAAAAATGAGTACCACATGACCCTTAACCGGCCCTTAAGGGATTATGGGCCGGTTCAAAAACCGACTAGGGCGAGCCGGTCCGATTTCTGGCCCGTGGCCATGTCTAAGAAAACCCTTTATTTCTATCAATTCAGAAAACCCTTTTCTTCCTCGCCTAAGTTAGCGCTCTCCAACGTATGGCGTCTGCAAGCCGTGAAATGTTGCACTAAAAAGAAGGTATGGAGGAGGAGGAGGAGGGTGGATCAGCCGCCATTAAAGAGGATGAGGAAAAGAAAATCGCGAGCTTCCTGGAGGAGATTAAAGATTTGACAATATTGCCCTCTATGTTGGAACTCAAATGGGGCTATATGCACTCCACCATTTGGATGGGCTGGATCACAAGTATGAGCAGGTAAGTTATATGTAATACGCTACCACATGTAATTTATATTTCTCCTCCTTGATTGAGTTCTTCTTTCTTTTTTTTTTTTTTTTTAATGNTTGTAACATGTTCTTGATTTGGATAGTATTTGTTCGTTTTTCGTTAAGGATGAAATTGAGAGGGATAGATCTTGGGGAAGTGCGACATTATAGTGATGCAGAGATCTGTGACTTTACTAATAGATACAGTGAGGACAACATATTCTGTCTTGCTCGTAATGGCCGATTGTTTAAGGCCAGGGGTTACAATAACAGGAAATTGGCCGTCAGAACTTTAGATGTATCCTCTCCTTTCAGTCGACTATCATATCTAACTCCGCCTAAACTCCATGTAATAATATATTGCTGAGTTTTTCTTTTTCACTTTGTTAATTGTTCTAGCAGTTCACTTGATTATTCTACTAGAATTTATTAATTTACATTCAAGAGCATAATGTGTTAATGCTGCTGTCATGCATAGGCTGATATTGTGCTTCTTAGAGATCCCTTGATCAAATCTCATCCCAACTTTGTCAAACTGATTGGATATAGCTGTGAAAGAATGTTGGCATTTGTGTTTGATCTTGATCCAAAAACAAGAGTCCATGAACTCCTCACTTCCGGTGGGCCCCTAACGATTCTTGTTACATAATTGTACGTTGGAATTTTATATCTATTAGCCAGTGTCCTAAACTAGCCTCTGTTATTTGTAATCTGCCGTGCAGATGATTTTGGATGGGACGCTCGTATGAAAGTGGCTATGGATTTTGGCCGCCTCTTGAAATTATCTCATGAAAATCTGATCATTTATGGGAGTATTGATGCCAAGGACATAATCATCGATTAGGTTCACACTCAAATTTCATTAGCGATTATCTTATTACTTAGATGCATTTTTCCATCCGTTTTCAAAAGGTCTTTCATTTACTGTTGTTGTTGAGTGAGTTACTGAATTTGTTGCAGGACTTGAATGCTAAGTTCTTTGATTTTGGTTTTCATAAACGTGTCAAAAACAAGGATGAGAAGTTTGAGGCTCAAGGCTTCTATAAAGATCTTGGATATTACGCTCCGGAGGTTTACAAATATCCAGGTATAATGTCTTATTGATGTGCATATTCTGTGTTGTGTTGTTCTCATACATCTCTTTATTAACAGTTGATTACACTTATAGTAGTTGTAATCAGCTTTGTAAGTTCATTCTTTACAATTTGAATATGAACCCTTACATTTAATTTGTATCTTGATTTTTTGGTTGAAGCCACATTTTTCATATTGTGCAGTAGGTATGTGGTCAATGAAATCAGATGTGTGTGCATATGGCATTCTACTCTTGAATCTGGTCTGTAAGAAACAAGGGGCTACATGGTTCTATAAATTGATAAAGAGTGGAAATGTGCCAGTGGTGAGTGATAGTTTTAAGATGGATGAGCATGCTAAATCTGGAATCATTGGTTTGGCCATGTTGTGTGTGAACAAGGACCCGACCTGTCGACCTGATATGGGGACAGTGGTCAAGAATTTGGAAGATCTGATTGCTAAACGCCCAATAGTGGCTCGTCATGGACTGATTGAGTTGGATGTAGCTAGAACACTAGTTTGCAGCAGTTAACTGGTAGCAAAGGTGTTAATCGGTATTTCAAGATCATTTAAATATAATTTATTTTCGCGGGTTTTTATTTAATGGATTCTGTGTATGGAAGTTCAATGCTACATTATTATGACCAAAATGATGTTGGTGAATTGGCCCAATCTACTTGTATTGTGGGTTGCTATTGCACAAGAAATTGTTGTGATGGATTTTTAACAATTTTCCCACCTGTGCGATGAATTCTACTATTGCAGATGTTTATGCATATGGCAATCTACTCGTGAAGACATGAATGTGATCTATAAGACTTTAATGACTTTTTAATCATGGTATTTTTACGTTTCCACATATTTTCCTAGTACATTGGTAAAACAACTCAGCACGATACACGCATCATTCTTTTTCAAGTGTAATTGCATCAAAATTTTTGCAATTTTACTGCCGTCCCCGACTTCCAATTTCTGCTCACCATTTCCACATTCACAAACTACTTTATTAAATATCTTATGATGAATATCTATATGATGCATAATCTATGTTTATATTATCCATTTTCACATGTTTTAATTTTAGGATAGATTGAATGAAATAGATATAATGATTATATTTAAGGTAATTTACATATCTGTCTGCTCGTTTTTCTCCCAAAAAGCCCATGTATCGACCTAGGATGCCGAACAGATAGATGGAGTCTCGGAGCTTGGAGAATGAATCGATGAAAAAGGTTTGACTTGAAGACTTTACGAAGTCGGCATCCGAGCTCCAGCGAGAACTGAAATTAGTGAAATATTGCCACTTGTCAACTAATGATTACTGATGGGACGCGCCCCCATACCCTGACAACCTAGAGTACCTAGCTCGGCAGAAAGACCTGTCCGCATTAAATGCTCAGCAGGGGAGCATTAAATGCCTGACAGACAATGATTAGGGAAACCTCAAATCGCATTTAATATCTGTCAGAACGACGCCGACCTGCTATGTGGAATCACTGTGCGACGGGACAGCAGAAACAGTGCGTGAACAGTGTCGAATTTAAGGCTACTATAAATAGAAGACCCATCTCATTTATTTTGAGTTGTTGAAACCATCAACTACTACATTCTTTCCACATTTTCTCTCTCTCTAAGTCTGTAATAAATTCCCAAAAAAAATGCTAAGTATAACAGAAGTGCTGACCTCGTAATTGTATAAGAAACTCCATTTTCATCGTATATCTCTCTCATTTTATCTTTTCACTACCATAACTCTTTATTTTAACCGTTGATAGGATCCGTTCATCAACAGTTTGACGCTAAAGGAAGGGCCCCATAATTTATTTGGTGTCAACATTTCGACTTTGTGGAACACCACCATCGGTTTCATCTTTTTTCTCATTTTCTCGCTTCGAAAACTTACCAAAAATGACTCCAAATGCTAGCGGTGCCTCCAAATGTGCCTCTCGGTGCCAGCTTAATTATGCAGAATGTTGGTCAAGTCTAAACTATGTTCAAACTTGACTGCTATCACTACCTTGGTCATCATATCTGCAGGATTCTCCGTTGTTTTGATCTTCTTCAACACAACGCTTCCGCACAAAGTAATAGCGAACATCAATATGTTTCGTTCTTGCATGAAATGCTTATTTTTCGCTAAGTGAATAGCGGTCTGACTGTCACAATGCACTAAGACGTGCTTTTGACCAACTACTAAGTCTTCAAACAAAACATCGAAGCCAAATAACATCCTTCACAGCTTCAGTAACCGCCATATAAGCCGCCTATGTTGTAGACAAAACAATTGTGGACTGTAAAGTAGATTTCCCACTAACTGGAGCTTTCGCAAAAGTGAACAAATATACAGTCGTTGATCTTCGCTTATCCAACTGTGCTGCTAAGACCAACAAAATTCTAATGGAAGAGTGCTTAACAACTGGAGAAAACACTTCATTATAATCAACTCCTTCCTTCTGAGCGAAACCTTTAGCCACCAATCTTGCCTTGTAGCGCATATCATTTTTCTGAGGAAATCCATCTTTCTTTACAAATACCCACTTGCATCCTATTGTCCTTTTGCCTTTTGATAGTTGCGTCACTTTCCAAGTTTGATTCTTCTGGAGAGACAACATTTCTTCCTCCATAGCCCTGAAATAATACGACTTTTCAAAATATTTTCCCCATTTTTCATCTCATATCCGAATTACAAATTTTAATCGTACGAATCTTAAATATTTCATATTTNGGCAATATGATACGCTCACCCAAAGTAATTTGATCCCGAAATCGTTGTGCTATTATATTGAACTCATTGACTGAATAAACCATTCAAGAATTTGATCCACAAATTATCTTGCTGTTATAGTAAATTCTTTGAGAATGCATCACTAAATCCACTTAGAATCAGAAAATTACTCGCACAAGAAAATCAATTGCCCAAAGCACTAAATCCACTCATTCATATCAAGCATGCATCACTTGAATCAGAAATTTACTTGCATCCCAATTCCAAAATTTCCAACATTCAACCCCTATAAATATTGCCCTACCCTTCATCCCTAAACGCAAAAACCTCATTGATCACTATTTTAATTAAAATCTTGTAAGAAAAAAAGAAGAGAGACAAAAATGGTCCCAATTAACATTATTCTCAAAACAATATTCGCACTAGTAATTTCCTTCATTCCCCTTTCTACATGTGATCTTATCTCACCAGAAGCAACAAGCACTACCAATAGTAGCGGTCTAACCCTGGACCTAATCCACAGAGACTCGCCTCAATCACCATCCTACGACCCCTCACTCTCCGATTCTCAGCGCCTCACCAACTCCTTCCTCAGGTCTCTCAAACGCCACCATCATTTCAATTCCCTAAATGTCCTCGCATCATCCCTGCCCGATACCGACCTCGTCAATGTTCCTGGAGAATACCTCCTCAAATATTCCCTCGGCACCCCACCCGTCCCGTCCCTCGGCATAGCCGACACTGGCAGCGACCTCACATGGATCCAATGCCAGCCCTGCCTCACTTGCTTCAACCAAACCCTACCCATCTTCGCGCCAAAAGCCTCCTCCACTTACAAAAAAGTCCTCTGCAAGACCCCAGCCTGCACCTCATTCCTGGGTAGCAGCTGCAGCACGAGCCGCGGGACCTGCGACTACTCCGAGGATTACGTGGACGGGACGTACACTCGGGGCGAGCTGTCCACGGACACTATCAGGCTGGGCGGGGGCAAAACCGTCTTTTCCGTCCCGAACGTCGTGTTCGGGTGCGGGTTCAGGAACAACATCCATTTCGACGGTGGAGAGTCGGGCATAGTCGGGCTCGGCGGCGGGCCGCTCTCCCTCGTCCGGCAGCTGGGCCCGCTCGCAGGGGGGAAATTCTCCTACTGCCTGCTCACGCTGTCTGACAAGTCGAACACGAGCAGGCTGCATTTCGGGGATCGGGCCGTGGTGGCGGGCCCAGGGACGGTGTCGACCCCTCTGGCCCGGAAGTCGCTGCAGACGTTTTATTACGCGACGATGGAAGGGATCAGCGTTGGGGACCAGAGGCTGGGGTTCAACGACGGGCCGGGCCGGGCCCGGGAAGGGAACACCATAGTGGACTCGGGGACCACGCTGACGGTGCTCCCGCCGGGGTTGTACGGGAGGCTGAGGGAGGCGGTGAAGAGGTCGGTGAATCTGAGGGAGAACCGGAACCATCAGGGGGTGCTGGACCTGTGCTTTATGAGCCGGGAAGACAAGGTGCGGATTCCGGACGTGGTGGTTCATTTTAAGGGGGCGGACGTGAAGTGGGGGCAAGACAATTTGTTGGTCCGTACGAGCGATGAGTCGGTGTGCCTGGCGGCTGTGGCAGCGGAGGGTGATGCTGTTTATGGTAACTTGGCGCAGGGGAACTTCTTGGTGGGGTATGATCTGGAGGCAAGGACTTTGTCCTTTAAGCCGGCTCAATGTGCCCAATCCTGATGATATATGTGATGCATTGGGTATTGTGGGGTTGAGGCAGATTATAGTTATTATTATTATTGTTATTTTTTAATAAATGATCAATCAAATTGATTCAGATTTTAACGATTACATGTAGTTCTTGCGATGCACACAGACGAAGATATTCAGTGGCCAAGTTCGATAGGCCTGTTGGTTCAACCCCAAAAATAATAGTATTGAATTATCTATTTTTCGTTTGTTCTTATATTTTTTTTTTTCGATCGTTACACCTGAGGCTATTAGAGCTAGCTTGTAAGTTAATCAATATATTAGCATGCTAAGTCGTTTACACTAATATAAATAGAATTTAAATGAATATATTTATTTCATGATAACGGAAAAATATAGTAGTTTTACTTATTTTATTCATCATATAATACTCAACTATAATTTTATTCTAAAATTAATACATGTTGTCATATAGTGTCGTTATTATTATTTATAAAAATTTATAGAAGTAATTTTTCTTATGCAATGATAGATATTTAATTTACGTTAATATTATTTATAATTGTAAATAATTAATACAATATAAAAAGATTTAAAATAAAATTTATCCATATATGTCTAAAATGGTTGATGTTAAAATCACTTATGGAAAGTTAAAAAAGCAGGTGTAACACTCTTGACTTCCCTCTTTTGGAAATTAATTAAAAAATCCGAAAATCCATTAGTTTTTTTTATTATCTTTTAATTTAAATCATCTACAAATCAGTTAGTTGCTATTTAATCTGATCCAAATATCTATTAGTTGCCAATTAGTCCAATTTTTTTTAGAGTATGAAATAAACATCCCACGTTTCACGCAACAATATCTTTTAAAAAAATTATCACTATAATAATCGAATCTTTTGTTAGAAAAGGCCAATCAAATTCAACTTCAAAAATTAAAATTACACTAATCCAAATTTACCATATATTTTTAAGAAACAGTAACACACTTTAATCTTAATTACAACGATATTGTTATTTGCATATAAATTGTGCAGAAATTATATTAAAATTGAGATCTACACATATTCGAGATTTATCAAATCTCTTTAAAGAATGTTTCATTTTAAATCAAATAATCTTCTCACAATTCTTCTTCCAAAAAATTGATTACAAAAAATCATCCTAATTAGTAATTAATAAAAATTATGAAATGGATATAAAATCTGATTTATTTCTAACAATTATGCAATTGATGATAAATCAAATTTATTTTTACTGTAAATAAAAATAATTTGTTTCAAATCTTCATGTATCATTGAATATCGTCGCCAACCTGCACAATAATGTAAAATATTGCATTTACACGCAATTTCAACATCAATTAAATTAAACACATTGATGCATCCATCTATAAATAAGTATAAACAGCTTATGTGCATGATCTAATAGATGTGATTTTTATTCTAATAATTAAATATAATATTAATAAGTAATAAGGCTTATAAAAAATATGTTCAAAAAAATTCTATGTAGAATCAAATTATAAATATGCTAATTAGAAAATGTTATTATTAGTTATAAAAATCAATTGGATTCCTATTGGATGTAATTTTTATAAAATATGCTATATATTTACTTAAACCGTGTGAGCAATAAAATCGTAAATCTGTTGCCAACTATAGTCAAAACTAATCTATTCGATATTATCACAACCTAAAAAATCTTATTTTTTTGACATCTAAACTAATCAACAATAAACGATTGACTAATATAAACATTTATCCATTAAATTAAAATTCTTAAGAGATACACTAAAATCTAAATCCGAATTTTTTAACACATATCTAACAATATCCGATAAGCACATATATAAACCTAAGATCAGTTATTTATTCTTATATACAAACCACGCCACAGAAGAGGTACACAGTGTATCTATTTTACTTTTCTCATTATTTTCTTCTTTGTTTGATTAAATGCAACGATTGAATCAAACTAATTAGGTGTTCATTTGAAGATTCTACCATAACTATTCCGAAATTGATTGTAATTGCCAACATTGAATTAGAAGGAAAGTACAAGCATGGAAAAACAAGGTAACCAAGGTGCTACAAGTCGACATAACACAACTCATGGAAGACGGATCAACCGAAACAGACCTGATAAAAATACTGATACAAGTCATATTTTAAAGTGTGTTTATTGTTTTACCTAATTTCTTTTTGTATAATATCATAAACTTGTGTAAGTTTTTTCAGTCTTATATTTTCATGAACATAAAATTACTAGGGGTGTGTGTAATTTTGAACACTGGCCCTGTTCGAACAATTATGTATTGAACAGAGGCCCTTTGTTCAAATCAAATAAATCAAATATATCTCACACTTTTGTAACAAATTTACATGCAAAATGGGACAACAAAATCGTTATCATTTCCAAGGTTTATAGGTCAATTTGAGGTCGAAATTAGTAAATACATATGATTGGTCGGGAAAAAGTGTGTATTTGATATATTTATTAGTGTATTTTTATATGCTTGATTTTATCGCACTTATGTAATTTTCGGGTTATTTATTTATTAGATGGATTTATTTGCTTTGATATTTTTTATGATTTATTAATAATACGAACGACGGTACGTTGAACGCGAAGCTGGAGTATTGGGCACCATACTAGTGATAATCAAGTTCCATATTGATTAGTGGGTACATGGTGATATTTGCTTAAATCTAAAGCCCAAATATATTTATGTACGCATGAAATTGGTGGAAGTTGTGGAATGGGAGTTTAAGAAATAGTTAAAAGGCCATAGGGCCCACTAATGAGATTATTTGTGAATGCTTGGACACGTTTGCTTGGGGGAGGATTTATTTGGCTTAGCACTTTATTTTCAAGACATTCACGGCAAAGAAAAAGCCGCCGCACAGAGCCGCAAAACAGAGAACGGAGCAGACGCACGAGAACTTACATAGACACGAGGAAGTACATTAATCGCGGAGGGAGACTGCTCTCGCACACGAGGGAGGTAATTAATCTCTCTCTTTTATTTGTTATTTACTTTTATTTATTATGTTAGAATAGTTTTTATTTCTAGTTCCGGTGAAGTCGAACCCTATGACTTGATGATGTTTGATTGATTTTCGTGGTTGATTATTGAGATATCTTTTTGGAATTGCTTGTGTTATTTTGAATAATTAACCATGATGTGTTGAGTCTTATTTAGATTGATCACCTAGATTAGGCTTTTCGTATCTATATCTAAATTAGACTTTCAATCCGTAATTGTTGTTTGTTTAGTTCATTAGATCAGAAGACGGTGTTTATTCTTAGAATGAATAAAACTCTTTCCGATCTTAGGGTTGCATTTAAGTTCCAGCGGCGACAGTTCCCACTTATGGTTTCGTATGCCATGACCACAAACAAGTGTCACTGTCGCACGTTTCATATTATCGAAAAACCTATTTTTAGTCACGACCAATTATGTTGTTGTTTCACGTGTAACTAATAGAAAAAGCTTAAAATATTAGTCTATTGGACAATTTCCCTACGTATTCAACATGACTTTTATTTATTAATAAATTTTAACTTATTATATTCCCCGAATAAACGAGTTACACACTAGTATTATGTATAAAGTGTTCTATCATATATATACACACTTGTGATTTTTTTTTTCTCGAAACGATAGATAATTTTATAAATCAAAATGCACAAATGTGCGAATACACAGCAGCCAACGGCTGAATACACAGCAGCCAACAGCTGAAAAAGTAGGAGGACAGGTCAGAAGCCCGCCTAGAATCCCGACTAGCAACGCTAGAATAAAAAACACACTTACAACTAAACTAACCAACAACACTAACAATTAGAACAACTACAAGGACCCCAACAGGGTAATACCCTAGTGTCGGACCCCAACGGAGTATTAAGTTTGACACTCGGGCTCACAGGGGTCAACGACCCAAACCAAAAACACAAAACACAACCTAAACAAACACAATCAACATAAAACGGACAAAAACAAAAACCTAAACAATATACGAAGCCCTTCCCCAGCATAACGAACACGCCCGAACCAACAGAGATCGGTCAACTCCCAGCAAGATCCTAAGTCCAAGACTGCTTCCGAAACTGCCGAACCGCCTATACAGAAGCCGCACCCGAACCCCGAATCAAACCCGAAATTGGCCCGTCCCCAACCGAAGAAACCAAAGCCGGCTCCCGACTTGACAAATATTTTATTTTGGCTTGAAATTACTTTACAAACTTTTCATATTAAGTAANGAGAATCATACCATTTCAGATTTCTTTAGTTTTTGTGTATGCGTCTTCAGTATATTGAATTTCACCTAAACATTTGTTCTATTTTTTTCTTGCAACGACAAACTTATATTAAATTCAAACAAAGAGTACAAGACATAATAAAAAAAATTACAAAATGAACAAATCTAACTTAAATAGTTAGACAAGAACACGCTTGAGAAACTACGCATTTTCACCCTCGAGATGAAATTGATGAACTTGCTTTCGGTAACATGGTTGTGAAAAATTTGTGGATTCTCTTTATGAGATATTACGAATTATGTTGTCATTTGAAGTCATTTTTTACATAATTTATGTTAAATAACAAATGTTGTTTGACGATCTTGTATGAAGAATACTAACAATTCGATTTGCGCCACGATTGAGTTCATAACTAACGGCTGGTACTACTGAAAATAGTTATCGCATGTTGGCTTATTTCTTAATTTTCATAGTTATACGTTGTTGTCTCCTGTATCACCAACCGAAATAATTTGAAATATTGTTATGCGTTGACGATGACTCGCCAATATAACAAACCACAAACCTTGTGTATAAGGATACATTCTAACAATTTATGATTTTTCAGTTTGTTTGACACCTTTTTATTTTTGCTACATATATAAAAAGTTCTATTAATTTTTATACCTGGACATGTTAAATATTATTGGAAAATATATCATTTCGTGTCTCGTAGGGGTCGCGATTAGTTAGTAGGATACACTCATCCAAAAAACTTTGATCCAGAAATTGTTGAGTTATTATAGTAAATTCATTGACTGAATAAATCATTCAAGGAAATGATCCACAAATTATCTTGTTGCTATAGTAAATCCATCGAGTGAATAAACGATTCAAGTCTATCAATTCAAATTATCTTGTTGTTATGGTAAATTCATTGAGTGAATAAACTATTAAAGTCTATCAATTCAAATTATCTTGCTGTTATGGTAAATTCATTGATTGAATAAAAACTATTCTAGTCTATCAAGTCAAAACCACTTGAATTAGAAAATTACTTGCATAAGAAAATCAATTGCCCCGATTCTCTCAAATCAGAAAATTATTTGCATCCCAATTCCATAATTTCCAACATTATTCCACCACTACAAATACTGCCCTACCATTCATCCCTAAACGCAAAAACCTCATTGATCACCATTTAAATAAAAAATGGTCCCAATTACCATTATCCTCAAAACAATATTTGCAATAACAATTTCTTTCATTCCTTTCTCTACATGTGACCTTATCTCACCAGAAGCCACAAGCACTGCCCATAGTACCGGTCTAACTCTTGACCTAATCCACAGAGACTCGCCTCAATCTCCATCCTACGACCCCTCACTCTCCCATTCTCAGCGCCTCACCAACTCCTTCCTCAGGTCTCTCAAACGCCTCCACTATTTCAATTCCCAAAATACCCTCGCATCATCCCTGCCCGATACCGACCTCGTCAATGCTGCTGGGGAATACTTACTAAAATATTCCCTCGGCACCCCACCCGTCCCGTCCCTTGGCATAGCCGACACTGGCAGCAACCTCATATGGACCCAATGCCAGCCCTGCCTCACTTGCTTCAACCAAACCCTACCCATCTTCACCCCAAAAGCCTCCTCCACTTACAAAAAGGTCCTCTGCAAGACCCCAGCCTGCACCTCCTTCCCAGGCAGCAGCTGCAGCACGACCCGCGGGACCTGCGCCTACTCCGAGGATTACTTGGATGGGTCGTACTCTCGTGGCGAGCTGTCCACGGACACTTTCGGGTTGGGTGGGGGCAAAACCGTCTTTTCTGTCCCGAACGTCGCGTTCGGGTGCGGGTTCAAAAACAACATCAAATTTTTCGACGGTGGGGAGTCGGGTATAATCGGGCTCGGCGGCGGGCCGCTCTCCCTCGTCCGGCAGCTGGGCCCGCTCGCACAGGGGAAATTCTCATACTGCCTGCTAACGGTCTCTGACAAGTCGAGCACGAGCAGGCTGCACTTCGGGGACCGGGCCCTGGTCGCGGGCCCAGGGACGGTATCGACCCCTCTGGCCCGGAAGTCGCCACAGACGTTTTACTACGCGACGATGGAAGGGATAAGCGTTGGGGGCCAGAGGCTGGGGTTTAACGACGGGCCGGGCCCGGCCCAGGAAGGGAACATCATAGTGGACTCGGGGACTACGCTGACGCTGCTGCCGCCGGGGTTGTATGGGAGGCTGAGGGAGGCGGTGAAGAGGTCGGTGAATCTGAGGGAGGTGAAGGACCCAAAGGGGGTGCTGGACCTGTGCTTTATGAGCCGGGAAGACAAGGTGCGGATTCCGGACGTGGTGGTTCATTTTAAAGGGGCGGACGTGAAGTGGGGGCAAGACAATTTGTTGGTGCGGACAAGCGATGAGTCGGTGTGCCTGGCGGTTCTGCCGTTTGAGGGTGGTGCTATTTATGGTAACGTGGCGCAGGGGAACTTCTTGGTGGGGTATGATCTGGAGGCAAGGACTCTGTCCTTTAAGCCGGCTCAATGTGCCCAATCCTGACGATATATATGTGATTGTATCGTGGGGTTGAATATTATGACAGATTATAGTTACTGTTTTTGTTATATTTTTAATAAGCGACCAATCAAATTGATTTACATTTTAATGAGTAGGTAGTTCGTGCGATGTTGGAGACTAAAATTATAAATGATCAAGTTTTTTAATTAATCAACAAATGATTCAATTAATCAGCCTAAAGTTTTTTGGCCATTTTGCATTGGAATTAAAATTTCCAGAAAAACTCAGCAATATATTATTACATGGAGTTTAGGCGGAGTAAAGATGTGATAGTTGACTGAAGGAGAGGATACTTTCAAAGTTCTGACAGCCAATTTCCTGTTATTGTAACCCCTGGCCTTAAACAATCGGCCATTACGAGCAAGACGGAATATGTTGTCGTCACTGTATCCATTAGTAAAGTCACAGAGCTCTGCATCACTATAATGTCGCACATCCCCAAGATCTATCCCTCTCAATTTCATCCTGAACGAAAAACGAACAAATACTATACAAATCAAGATCATGTTACAAATAATAATTTAAAAAAAAAAAAAAAAGTAAAAAGAAGGACTCAATCAAAGAGGATAAATATAAATTACATGTGGTAGCGTACAACATCTAACTTACCTGCTCCTACTTCTGATCCAGCCCATCCCAATGCTGGAGTACCTATAATTCCAATTGGGTTCCAACATAGAGGTCAATATTGTCAAATGTTTAATCTCCTCCAGGAAGCTCGCGATTTTCTTTTCCTCATCCTCTTTAATTGCTGCTGATCCACCCTCCTCCTCCTCCTCCTTAGGGCTTGCAGACGCCATAGCTTAGAGAGAAGGAGTCGGGAAACGGCCAAGAACTATTAGGCCGAGTGCCTTAGTTTGTTTAAGAGGGTAGCGGAAGGTGGCAGGTCGAGCGGCACGTTAGCTTTGATAAATTCTTTCATCGTCAAAAAATAATGTTTATACTCTGACTTTTTCTTTTTCCTAAGAAAAACGAGAATTGTATAAATTTGATTTTTTACTTTCAAGAGTTATAAAAATATGGATATATATAATACAAGAGTATCTTCCTCCCAAAGAAACTACCTAATATACAAGAAAGACCATAATATTCAAGGATTTGAATTTATCGGAAGAGGATCCTGTAAATCTCGAATGATATCTCAAATGTTTCCCTTTAATTTGGAGCATGAAGATGTCGGCATGGTGAAAGGGGACGTACTCGGCAACTAGTTCACTAGATTGAATGCGCTCCTGAACAAAATGATAGTTAATCTAGATATGTTTTGTGCACTCGTGGTGAACTGGGTTAGCCGATATATGAAGGGTCGATAGGTCGTCGCAGAGCGACGAATGGGACTAGAAAGCATGACACAGAGAGAAGAAAACAAACTGCGAAGCCATATAAGTTTGCTTGCGGTGACTGTCATTGAACGATACTCTGCTTCGGCGGACGAGTGAGAAACGGTTGTTTGCTTCTTAATGCGCCAAGAAACCGGACAACCGCCAAAGGTGATGATGAAGACTGTAGTGGTACTCCGCGTGAGGGGACAACTGGCCCAGTCAGAGTCGCAATAGCCAATTAACTCCAATGAAGTCGGTCGTTGAAGGTAGCGAACAATGCGTAGGGCGACATCCCAATGGCTCTGCTACCTCAGCTGTTGCATCAATTGTGCGAGTAATTAAATTGACTAAGTAGCACAACTCAGGACGCGTGATGGTCAGATAAATAAGGCGTCCGATTAATCGACGATTGCATGATTTGACTTGATAAAGGTTGAGGCTTTGGTTAAACATCATACTTAGACTTAAGGAACTCCATTAGGGTAGTCTTTGGGCAAGATTGTATGCATGTGGGACTTTCTTATAGAGTTATCTATAGTTTGTCTACTATATGACTAATTGCGTCCGCACGTGTTATTATAGTGGCCCGATTGGTTCTTTGCCGAGCGATAATTATTTGATTGCATGTTTTCGGGGCCTTTGAGTGTATTTCCACTACGTGCTTTCAATTAAGTTTACTTGTGTTAACATTAGCTCGATTCTACCAACCAACTTGCGATTGAAGTGTTTAACACTTTTATTTTTCATTTTTGTGAATAACTTTTTTAGCATATAATATTGTTTTCGTCTTCTTTTTGTGTTTATATTTTATTATTTAGTTAAATATAGTTCATTTGGATAATTTTATCCGAGACAATATTTGATTATGCTGAATTTTCATTAAATTAAATACTTAGTATGCAATTGAATTTTTAAATTTCACAATTTAGTTTATATATTTCCTCAATTTTTAAATAAATGATATTTGAGTATATGAAATTACTACTAAATCTCATAATATATGTGCGACATATTCAAGGGAGTGACATATGAACCTTAAATAACATGTCATATGTCAAGAATGACAGGAATGTTTAGACCGTGTCATAGCCATCGTTTTAGTGTATTATGTTATTTTTCCTAATTAAATTCAAGATGAAAAAAAGTATCTTTATAATTTTTTATAGAAAGTAATACATCAATTAAAATGAACATTTGTCATATGTATAAGATAGTAGCTAATAATTCAAAAGTCTTTGTTAAAGGATGGTTATCTCTATATAAAACACGACTATAAAATATTATACTTGATATTTTTAATTTACTAATCAACATTCAAATTTTTATATTATTTACTACGCTGTAATCTAGAAGCCCCAACGAAAATTCACCCTTTAGCGTAATTTATATTAGATATACAAAAGTTATTTTCAAAATTTGACTCTTCTACATATCCATCTAGCTAGATTATTTGAGCGGAGTACTTCATGTTCGAACTCATGCTCATTTAATAAACGAGCTAGTGTGGTTTGACCCGTTTAACAAACAAATAAAAATGTGAGCTCGAGTTCGACGTGTATAAAATTGTTTCGACTGATTTAGTAAATTTTAAAACTAGATCAAAACTCTAATTGAATTTATCGTGAACACAATCGACTCAACTTATTATTACATAGACAAGTCATTAGTTGTTCGAGCTAGCTTGGCTCTTTAAATGTACAAGAAAGTGGGGCTCAGGCTTTACATGTTGAGTTGAACTATGTCAGCGAGGCCCACCGTCACCCTCATATATGGTCTTGCAAACAGTCCCCAATTTCCAGCCTCTTAACTAGGCAAAGTACATTTCAATCCTTCATCTCCAAAACACAATGTTTAGTCATTTCTTGGTTAAGTGTTCATTTCAACACTTACTTTCATTTTTCGCCATGACAATACTCTCGAAAATGAGATAAAATAGCGAAACATAAAATATACACAAATGTCTAGTACTGATTGTTCTTCTATTTTAATGTCTAGTACTGATTGTTCTTCTATTTGAAATTAAAACTATGAGAACATCATTCTTAAACGAGTAATAAACCAAAAAAATAATGCAGTTTAGGACCAATGAAAAAAAAATTATTGTTAAACACTGAAAGTTAATATATATATATATATATATACATATATTTAGAATTAAAAAACAATTGTAACTATGAAAGTAAAAAAAATAATAATAATTAGTAGGTGAATGCCTAATTTTCTATGTGGAAAGTGGAACGAAAATTTGTGTCCCAAGACGTGCGAATATTGAGACCGAGAACCCGACTCAATTGAATTTCATGAAGTCATGAGTATAAGCAGTGCTGAAACCTGAGTCTACTAGTCGAGCAAATATTGCGATTCACTTCCCAATAAGAGGGAGACTTTAGGGTCTAAAATTAGTTTAGCGTAGATCAAGAACTTGGATCTAAAAAAAAAAGAAAAAAAAAAAGAAAAAGGTTAATCTCGACCCAGCTGAGAAGCCAAAGATGAGTTGGGGCCTAATTTTATGCAATAAGCATAACGGTAAACACAAAAATACGCGCCAAATCTGGGTCCCCAGTGATGACGTGGCGCGATATGATTGGCTCCTGCGTTTGACTCCAAAATCGGCCATTGCTGAATAGGAGCACGCCCAGCCTTGGAAGCATAAAACACCACCCAAAACCGTAAGTATGAGTTGTAAGCCTTAAAGCCCAGTTGCAAGGCCGGGTGGGCAACACGCAAGAAAGAAGCCTAATTGGGCCCCACCAGTTTTCGGGCCTGCAATTGGATCTCAACAAGTCATGCCTATGGGCCCCGCTTAACTACCCCAATTGGGTCTAATGGCCATTAAGGAGAAGGTGAAAACCAAAATTAGGAGTTTGGGATATAGCAAATAGAAAGCAGCACTTTTGTGGTTTTCTATTACTTGTTCAGTCTTGAACAACTGTAAAGATGAAAGATGTTAAGGATATTTTCACCCTAGTTCCCACCAATTTATCAATTTGACTCTTTAATTTAACCATGGTACACTATTACACCCTATGAAAAAATTTGGCTTAGTTCAATTCACCAACTTGCCTATATATAGGGACGCTTGCACATTCACTTAAACTCGTGCTTTTCGGAAACAGTCGACGATCATTCTTCACAAGAAAAATCGATTGACGTTTCGTTTTTTCTGTAAAAAAAATCTAGAAATGAATCAGTTGGCTTTTGTGTTTGGCCTTCTAGGTACAATTTAATTCTATCATCTTTTATATTATCACCATTTACACAATTTCATGTACGTAAAGTTTCATGCACATTGAGTGTGCATATTACTATTTACTATTGGGAGTCTGAATTTTTTAATTTGGAAGCATTTGTTACAAGACTAACTTTAATATTGTCTTTCATTTAAATTTTCTTTTTCTTTTTCTTTTTTTTTTCCCCTCTCGCAGGCAACATTGTCTCATTCTTGGTGTTCCTGTCTCCCATGTGAGCTCCCAATTTATTATATATTCATCCTTACATTTTTTTTCCATTTTTAGAAAAAAAAAATTAATAGCATACATTATTAATTACAAAATTATTAATCTCAAATTCTTTTCTTTCCCCCTCCTTTTTTAATGTAACATGCAGGCCAACATTTTACCAAATCTACAAGAGAAAATCGACAGAAGGGTTCCAATCAGTCCCTTACACTGTCGGATTATTTAGCGCAATGCTTTGGATATATTACGCGTTTCTCAAGCCGGACACGACTCTTCTCATCACCATCAACTCATTTGGTTGTCTCATCCAATCGGCATACATTTCATTCTACCTCTTTTACGCTACAAAAAATGCAAGGGTGCGAAAATATATGAAATCGAGCAAATTATTAATTTGATTTTCATTTATAAATAATCATCATCTATAGTTACTAACTAATATATCATTGATTGTTTAATTAGGTCCAAACCGTGAAGATGCTTCTTTTGTTAAATGTGGCCGGCCTAGGCTTAATCGTGCTGCTAACTCACTTCTTAGCAAAAGACTCGAATCGTGCGGATATTGTTGGATGGATTTGCCTTGTTTTCTCTTTGTGTGTATTCGTAGCACCATTATGTGTTGTGGTAAGTGTGGCCATAACGAAATATATATTCTTCATATGTAGTGTAATATATCTTAAGTTGAAAAAAGAAAATACATGAAACTAAAATTAAATTTATTTTTGCAGAGACAAGTGATCCGGACAAAAAGTGTGGAATACATGCCGTTTCTTCTCTCGTTTTTCCTCACCCTAAGTGCGGTTATGTGGTTCTTTTACGGCTCATTACGCAAAGATTACAACATTGCCGTAAGTACATTCATTATTTAATTTCATACTTTGGTATTACACAATATTTACATGCATTTGCAAATTTAATTATTTATACAGATCCCTAATGTTCTGGGGTTCATATTCGGCGTGCTGCAAATGATCCTCTACGCTATTTACAAGAACGCCAAAAAACCCGTGCACGAAAAGCAGCAGCAGCACCTCTCGGAAATCGAAAGCCAAATAAACGCGATCGAAAGCCTAAAAATCCCAGAATTAAAAGATCAAATTATTGATGTTGTGAAGCTGGGCAATGGACTAGCCGTGGAAATTGTTCCGGTGGGCCCCATTATCATCGATGACGTGGAAATCACTCTGGCCGTGGAGAAAACATGCGCCATGTAATAATGACCCAAGAATTAATTAATGTAGGAGATATATATGCCTGTTGTTTGTGACTCGTAATTTGGTTAGGCTGATTAATTAACTGTGTGTTTTGTGTGGTTCATGGCTTTGAAATTTGGTTTGTTATGCTATTAAATTTGGGTCCTGATTTGATTTGTATCATCATTAACTAAGTGGAAGTGTAATATAATGTTGAATGCTTTGTTTGAAATTTACTAGGATTGTTGAATTTTTGTGCCCTAAAAACATGTGTGTGTGTGTGTGTGTTAGCTGCAAGGAGAAAATGCATGATCAGTCAAAGGATGTTTTGGTTGAGATCATTGGCTGGGAAAGCTAATGTTTGTACTTATTGGATTTGGTTTCTATAAATAGAAGGTGGACTTTAGGTCATATTTGATCGTTTTAAAATCAACACGCAATAATTAAGACCAAAAAAGAAAGAATATTACCTTTAAACTAATTACTACATCTATACTACTCTAAATACTCTAAAAGGACGAGTGTTTTTGTAAAAATATGAACTACCTAAAATAACCTTATTTTGACATATTTTTAATGGCAAATTAGTAATACAGTAATACATATTTTAATTTATATTTTTAATTAAAAAAATAAATTACCTGAAAAACCCTTACTTTAACATGTTTTTAATGGCAAATTAGTAATATACTAATACCTATCATATCTTATAATTTTAATTTATAACTAATGCTTAATTACTTAAATACAAATACATGAACAATATATTTCACATCTCCTAAAAATCAAACACAATATTCACGCACCATTATTTCTCACGAAATTGCTTTCTTCCACGTATCTCCCAAAAATCAACCTAACATCAACCTAAACAATAAAGTTTTGAAAAGATATAGAATTGTTGTTTTAAAATAAATATTTATTAGTAATATTTATAAAATATGATGTGTATTAGTTTATTACTAATTTGCCATTAAAAATATGCCAAAGTAAAGGTTTTTTAGGTAGTTCATATTTTTACAAAAACACTCGTCCTTTTAGAGTAGTATAGATGTAGATAGATAGATAGATAGATAGATATAGATAGATAGATAGATAGTGCGCGAGTGCGTACAGTTAATCTATATTTTTGTTCCTTTACTCTCCAACAATTTTGGAGAGCACTAGTATATATAAATAAATTTTGATGACCAAACATAAAGAATCATCCATTTTTGTTCCTTCACTCTCCAACAATTTTAGAGAGCACTAGTACAAATAAATTTTGATAACCAAACATAAAGAGGTCATCCCAATTATCGATCACAGTTTAGGAATTAAAGAATATGAAATTGTTAGAACAAATCTAATTAAATAATTAAGTGTTATTGAACCCATGTTAAGAGTCACATATCACACCATACTGATATATGGTTAGTTTCAATCGTGAACATGCGATTGTTATTTAGTATCTTAATTTTATAAATGGATAAATTGTTATTATAGAAAAAACAAAACGATGTAACTTATATAGGCTCCTTTTCTTGAATTTCTTCGATGTTTGACCTTAGGAACCTATAAATCGGAACTTTGATATAAGAGCCGTGAGTTCGAACACAAAATCGTTCAAACTGAATAATTGCTGCACGATGCCTTTCTTATTCTGTAAATTACGTAGAATTAATAAACATAATTATTTAGGAAAAGAAAATAAATATAGCAAGATACATATATTATATTCCAATCATATAATATATATTGAAACCAGAATAAAAAAGTATGATATACTATTCCCATCATATTGGAATCTTACCAGTTCTAAACAAAGATATGCTTTAAAGCACCAAGCATGCCTTTCTACTTACGGTTATCACTTTTCTCTTTAATGTAGCTAACTTACGGTTATCACTTTTCTCTTTAATGTAGCTAGTAACACGAATTAGGACCATCCCACAAGAAAACGTATACAAAGTCACTCATGACTTCTACTACTAGATTTTTTTATATATCTTTACTATCTTTATGTCTTTCATTCTTTGTTATTGTTCCTTCTCTTTTTTCCCTTTCTCATCAATTGTGTATGCGCGTGGGGACCATCCCTTGGATTTTTCAAAATTTTAGTATATACAGAATTATTTTAATTTTTATACACAAATACTGTTAAATTCTAAAGTTTGCTACTTAATATGTGAAAACTTGCCTCTTTGGAACTATAACCATATTTTAATTTGTAAATTTATTTTTAATACTATTACTTATGTAGTTAAGTGGATGTGGATGAAATTCAATGAAAAGCTCATGATATTCGGGATGGAATCAGTCAATCCCGAATTGAGTGCTCGATATATGACTGGTCGATGGAGCACCTCTATTTTTGTTTCTGACATTCATTCATTGTCGCACGAAATGAGTCTCCCCTTCAAGAATGATATATTTTGAGTTACATGTAAAATACACCATATTGCATTACTATTACTAAAATAAGATTCAAACATTCTATCCTAATAGAATTTCTATCCAAGTTTATGAATGGGAACTAGTTTACAACACATTTATACATGTGTTAACGACACGTTAAGCAAAACTATTGAAGACATGAGTTACAACATACACAATGTTTTTATTTTACACTCCTTTGAATATTAGGAGGTGCTTTAGTTTGAGATTTCAATTGATATTTTGATACTTTTTGGAGATTTGAAACTTTTTAAAATTTTCAAATTTAGAAGGAACACTATAAAATCTCAAGTTTGGGGTGGAATTTGGAGTGTTATTTTGTGAATGGGGTTTTTCTTAAAAAAAATAATCACAACAAATTTTAAAGTCTTAACAAATTCTTGCCTCAAATAAGCTAAATACCTAAGCATTTAAATTTTTTACATTAAATAAACCAAGATTTTTTAAGTCTTAAAATTTCCAAACAAATGGGACTAAAATTTGGACAAACGTTTTTCCATTTGGAAGTGGTTCCATCTGAGCAGACTCGCAGTATATGTGTGCGAGGGAAATATACAAAATAAAAGTCCAATACCAAAAAGTACACATTTTTAAACTTTTAAATTAAAACAATACTAGTTAACATCCAAAAACAAAGATATTTATTTGGTACAGGCACTGTATTCAATAGTACTCAAATTACAAACACTACTCCCCCAACTTGTTACACGATCAAAAGTAGAAACCAATTGAAATAGGTTTCTGAAAATTTTTCCTTTTTGTGCAGTTAAGCTAAGCCACTTGGTCTAACTTTACTATCTTGAATGAGCAAATTCTGCACCACTCACGCTCACTTTGGTGACTTGGTCCATGCAATTTCCAATTGAAGAAAAGAATCCGTAGGCCAAACAAAATAGCACCCAAATGAAAATTTCCCATATAATGAGATTCCACAGGTGCTGTTGATGACTTGGGAATAAATTAAATTTAAAATAAAAGATCAAACCAACTTGAAGATTTACTCATCATTTCATATCCCCATTTTCCCCAGATGTTTTCTAAAATATGCTTTTTTACAAAAGCTATGGCTCAAGAATGCAACAAATGAAAAACATGAAAATAGTGATTTTCTACAAACTATACCTCCTTAGCAGCAGCATGTTAAAAAAAATGTCAATGTATACACTGCATTTTTCGTTCAAGCCATTGTACCATAAGTTATCTATACTACTCTAAAAGGACGAGTGTTTTTGTAAAAATATGAACTACCTAAAATAACCTTACTTTGATATATTTTTAATGGCAAATTAGTATTACACTAATACATATTTCATTTGTATTTTTAATTAAAAAGATGAATTACCTAAAAAACTCTTACTTTAACTTGTTTTTAATGGCAAATAAGTAATACACTAATACCCATCATATCTTATATTTTTAATTATTAACTAATGCTTAATTTATTAAATACAAATACAAGAACAATACATTTCACATCTCCTAAAAATCAAACAAAATATTCACGCACCATTCTTTATCACGAAATGGCTTTCTTCCACATATCTCCCAAAAATCAACCCAACATCAACCTAAACAACAAAGTTTTGAAAAGATATAGAATTGTTGTTTTAAAAAAATCCTTATTTTTAATATAATTTTATACATTATCTTACAGACTAGCGAAGTTGAACAATTTCATTTAGCTACTTCATTATTTAAGAAAGTAAACTCTTATATTTAGAACTAGAATAAAAATTGCACTTTAATCTAGAATATTTGGTTTGTGTAATTGTATTTAATTAATTAAATATTAAATAAGTATTAGTATATTACTAATTTTACATTAAAAATATGTCAAATAAAAAGTTAATATATTTTTTTCATAATAAATTAGAAAAAAAAAAGTAAATTGTGTAATAGTATGAGAAATAAATTGTTGAATAATTATTTTGCAACCTAAACTCTAAAATACTCAATTTTTTTACTTAAAATAAGATTATTGTAATTTTATGAAATTATATAATACTAAAATCCAATCCATTTTTTAGTCGAATGGGATATTGCTTGAGCAGCATGATTTAAGTTTGATCATATAATTATCTACGAATTAATTAAGATGTCTAGAGAATCATGATATGCTTATACGCTGAAAATTAATTAATTTTTAACAATAAATTATATCATATATCATCATTACTCATCTATTATTAATAACTATATCTAAAACAATTAAAATCGATAATTTTTTTCCTCACAACACCCATAAATTATAAAAACATTTTTTTTTTCAAAATAACCTATAAAAATAATGTAATAGTATGAAAAATTAATTGTTGAATGATTGTTTTGCAGCCTAAACTTCTAATCTACTTTTATGAAATTGCATAATACTAAAACCCATACTATTTTATTTTTATTTCAAATGTATACTGCTTGAGCAACATGATTTAATTTAGATTACATGATTATCTATAAATTAATTAAAAAACAATTAGAAAATCATGATATGCACATATACGTTGAAAATTAATTAATTTTAGCAATAAATTATATCGATATATTACCATTACTTATCTATCTATTTATCTGTATTATTTTAATAAAGTAATTTTTTATTAAAAAAAAGTACATAATTAATTTTTTTATATTTGAGTATAATATTAATGAGAAAAATTTAATTATATATAATAAAGTCAAAAATGTACAATTAATTGATTATAATAAGACAATTGTCCCAAAAGGTTCTATATTTAATTTTATGTATTCTTCTAACAAATATATTAAGGAAAAAAAACATCATAAAGGAATATATATATATATTAAAACATATAAAATAACAATATAAAGGAAAAACATATTAAATTTGATAAATAATATTAAAACACACTTAAGTTGTAACACTTACTAAAAAATATGAAAAAAAGTAATAAATAAAATGTTATGGTTAATAAAAATAAAGATCAAACTTTTAAAACTTGTACTTATTGATGTAAACGAGCTGAGTTGTTAAACGCTTGTTAATTTTTTGTTCTTATTAATTCTAGGTGTAAGTTTTAGGTGATAGACAATAGTTATATATACTTTTATTGGTCATTATCTTGAAAATTAATTCAAAATATCTAGAGAACTATAATATGTCTATATACGCTGAAAATAAATAAATTTTTATCAAGAAATTATATTCATATAGTACCATTACTCACTTATCTTTTTTTGAAACAGAACGATAAAAAGGACTTATATTAATAACAAAACGAGACTAGATAACAACTATTCGGCCGAATATACAGCCAACGACCGAATAAGCTAAACAACTTTTTATTAAAAAAAAATGTACATATTTTTTTTAATATTTGAGTATAATATTAATGATAAAATTATTATTATATATATAATATATTATATAGATGTACAACTATAATGGATATAATAAGACCCAAAAAAAGTTATATACTTAATTTTATGTATTTTTTAACAAATCTAAAGGTTATATATATATATATATAACATATGAAAGAACAATATAAAGTAATAAAATATTAAATCTGATACATAATATTAAAAATATAACTAAGTTTTAATACTTACTAATAAATATGAGAAAATGTAATAACGAAAAAATAATGTTGTTCCAATAGATATCAAATTAAATTACAATAGAATTTTTGTGGATTAATAAGTGTACCATCAAAATAACATAATGCCATTACAATTTATAAATTATAGTTTTTATTATTTTTCATCTTTCTCATATGTAATACTTTTTTTACACATTAATACAACAACAATATGATCAATAATATTAAAAAGAAAAGAATATTTTTTTCTCAATTCGACATATGAAAATAATAAAAAAATATTATATTTTTTTAAAAAAATTATGAACGAATATTTTATGTTATAGTATAGTTGACTCGACAATATAATTGATGAATGTATAAGTTAGATAAAATTATGTCGCAAAAGAGAGAATATAAGCTATCATCAAGATTAAAAAGAAAATAGAGAATAGAGCGTAAAATTGTAAATTTTGATAACTATTATATTTCTTTTAGTTGTAATATTGCATTTATATTATAACTTTGATATAGTTATGAGTTGAACTAAATTATAATTGATTGAGTTTTAAATTAATTTATCATTTATCTTTCTTTTCGTTTAATATTATTTTAATAAAGGGCATGATTAAAATTATGAAAAATGTTCCCATAATTTTTGTTAGATATCTTATACTATGTGTTTTGGGATGAGCCATGTGTCGGGACTATTAGACAAACATGGATCTGCCCATAATTCTAACAAAGTATTTTTGTTAGAATATTCATTGAAAAATTCAAACGAGAATTGTAACATTGAAATATTCGTTAGAGTTGTTGTTGAAATTCCGTTGTAATATGCTTTTATTAGAATTTCATCATTTTCTTGCAGTAAAAGTATGACTCCAAATAAAAAAAAAAAATCACTATATATAATATTGTGTGCAGTTAATTATTTTATTAGTATTATAACAACTAAACAAGAAGTAAGAATGATGTTCAATGTAATAAAAAGGTAAGACTAATACTAAACAAGAGGTAAGAATATTGTTCTACATGATGAAAAGGTAAAACTACACAATGAGCAAGATTATAGCTCACTAAAATTAGTAAATGTCCCATATCAATTGAAGCTAGCGAATGATAAATGTAAAACATACTTGAGATGCACATTTGTAAAAACTATATTTATCTTTTTGTGTTAGAAATATATATGTTAGTCATCATCTTTTTAGTTAACAATTTAATTAAATTTTACCATTAAAAGTTTAAATTTTGAAATACTTAATATTTTTTTTGTTTCACTTTTATATTTAATATATCACATCATTTTTTTCTCATGATGTTTGATTTGACAAATGTATTGTAAATAAAATATATATATATATACATAGACCAATTTAAAATAATATATACCAATTTATAGATCCATGTTAACTCAATTTTATTAACTATAAAATAATATTGGATAAACTTGTGGTACATTTTTCTTACATGGATTTTAAATATTCAATAATAAGAAAAAAGTGTAATTGGATGTAAACGTACATCTATTACCAATATTAACTATATGAATTAAAAGAAAAAATAAATGAGTTGTATGTTAAACTATTATGCAATTATTGCTTGAAAGAGAACACCATAATGGTTTTAAAAATATATTTTTTGTGGATATGAAAATAAATTAGTTACTTAGGAGTTTATCATCAATGGAAAAAAATCCAAAAACTTTTTAATTTTATAAACAATATAAAAGTACATTTTTGTCAAATATATTATTACTATCAAACACGTAAGAAAAAAAAAACTCAATGTGTATAAATGTGCTCTAATTTTTTCAACAAATAAAATATTATTTGTGAATAAAATAAAAAACAAATAAAACAAATAGTAATGCAATGGGGAAAAGAAACGGTCAGAACTTTTTTAGAAAGATATGAATACCAATATTAAGAAACAAAAATCTTTAAAAATTACTACTTTTTTGTTGCTAGCATTTAAATATATGTTATCTATAAGAAATTGGTTCTCATAAATAGTGATTCGATATTATAATAATATAAACCAGGAACTTTAATAATGACTTCATAATAGTAAAGTTAACAAATGACTAAGAGTATCATAATATAATAGAATTCAAATTCTTCTCATCTAAAATATTTTGACAGATAATATGCGTCTGAATATTGTCTCATTGTTTTGTTTTGTTTTGTTTTTATTGAAGAATCAAGAAATGATCATTATCTTGAATTTTCGAAGCATTAGTTATGATACAAAATGTGGACAACAAATGCATTAAATAAATTATTAGACACATAAATATTGCAAGTAATCCAAACGAATGTGAAATGTTTTATGATAAACAACTCTAAAATCATTGCAACAACCAAATTGTTCAATGATATGCAAAATTGTAAATAATAGGTTATGTAGTTCATCTATCGTCCAAATAAATAACATTGAAAAGGGAATGTTTGATTATGATTAAATTATTTTTGAATGATTGAATAAGTTCACTTTTGGTAGAATATTTACAATCTTAATTGTGTATTGGGCTCGATCATATGTGAAATTACTTTTGAATACGTATTTTAATGTGATGTGTGATAATTTTAAAAAATAATTTAGCGACTTCGAAGAAGGACATGATTTTGAAAAATTAACTTTTATTTAGAGATTAAATTCGTTTCCACCCCATGGAGTACGTACCAATTTCTCTATCTTAATTGTGTATTGTGTTCGATCATATGTACAATTACTTTAGAATACGTATTTTAATGTGATGTGTGATAATTTTAAAAAATAATTTAGCAACTTCGGAGAAGTACATGATTTTGGAAAATCAATTTTTATTTAGAGATTAAATTGGTTCTTACCCCATGGAGTAAGTACCAATTTGTTATATGGAGAGAGAGAGAGAGAGAGAGAGAGTAATATAATATTTTATACAATGATTAAAAAAAATATCAAGAATTTTAATGACACAAGTATCAAGAACTCTAATGATACAGTTGGTTATATCACAGAGATATTTATAAACTATTAGTAAATATACTTTATAATGATCATACAATCATGCAATTTGACTATATGTTTGGCTAAAGTATCTCTAAGTGTTGAATAAAGCACACGTTTTACCAAATTAATTAAGAAAAAATTAACAATACTATTGATGTATTTGAATACAACGAGTATAAATGTTTCTTATGAGAACATCAAATTAGAATGAAAGAAAATCACTCTTGAATCTACATAAATAAATAAAAGAACTCATGCATCTATAATATACATTAGGTTCTTATTTAGTGTTTTTTTTATTATGGACTCATTTTCATATATTTTTGTCGGGGTTGTAATATATATTTAAAAAATTTTATATTGCGACATCATTATATTATTTTTGAAAAAAAAATAATTAAGAGTTTATATAATCAACATTTTATTTTTTCTTACTGCAATCATATGTTTAATAAATTAATTAATTCATCTTACTAAAATTAATCGACAAAAAACATTCGTCACCACGTGCATCGCACGTGCATTTTACTAGTACAATAATAAACGTCAATCTAACATCATATGCCTAGTCAAAAAAAGAAATACTAGCTAAGAGATGTCCTGTCAGGATATGGGCACTCATAAGTCCACCCAGGCCCGGAGTATCTAACACAGTGCAACCATAACCCTTCTTCACGACCATCATATCTGCATAAGTAAAGAGTCATGCTCACGATTCACATATTTAAACAAACCAATAATGCTAAAAAAGCTTCTAAACATAAAGAAGCTGGAGACCAATCCAGATACACGAGTAATGTCATGAGATATTTCTTGATCAGCATTATACGTTGATAGCGTTAATAAATAATAATTCACCCATTAGGTGCCAGATTTGGACAGTTGGTACACATAGGATCAATGGCAAAATCTTCAACAGGATTATCTCTGGAAAGGGGGACATGAATATCCCAATTAGTGGATTTTGAAGGAAGCCCTGAATTATTTGCAGCTCTATCTGCAATGAATCCTTTGGTGGAACTTTTGGTGCATACTTCTCTGTACAACTACTTTTGGGTGTCAAAAGAACTTTCAGGAATGAAAATGCTCTAAAGAAGAGCAATACCTTAAAGATAACCAAAAGGATGATGACTAACTCCATCACATACATATATAAAATAGTTGTAGCACACTGTACACTGATCATGACTCGAGGGAAAACTAATGAACTAGTAAAACTCAATTTTCAAAAGAAGAAGTGGATTGCACCCTAAATTCTGAAAAAAAATAAATCTACCATTTCACACCTCAAGCATGAAATGATATGAGTAAATTTTAATGGGCAATGAGGCAAAGATCCAAAAGGAATTGTCCATGGCTTGCATATCTGAATCTAAGACAAGATTAAACAACCAAAAAGAATAAAATTAAATTTTCGGACAACACACAAATAAGTGAAGACTTTTAAATCCAGCCATTTTTCCAGCCAACACAAATGACAAACCTCTGGAATGCGAAAAAACAACATTGATCTTCAGTTTAATTGCAAAACTTGATACACAATCGTGTACTCTCAATCATTCTTTAATTCTAAATATGTAATAGTCTGCAACAACGTGCAGTTCATTTTACATAACATGGGCTTCTCAACTAATATTCAAGTTCTTGTGAGTATACATTCAATTATTCAAATTCAGATTGCAGTGAACTAAGATGCATACTATCAAAGTACCCCACAAATGACCTTTGATATTAAAGGAAATACCTATTTTATCCTTGTTTTGATGATTGTTTAAGCTCTTTTCACAAAAATAGTAACTCTAATGAAACATGAACTAGAATACATCTAATTTTTACTCTCATAAAAGAAATTAGTAGAACTTCATTAGCATCACAGTCCTTCAAAGGATTTTCACAATGGTAAAGTCTAGAGTGTGGATGAATCATTTTTTTCCTAAACCTAGTAAGATAAACAACCAAACTGCTAGGAGAATTGGACTTTCTAGTACAAAAAGCATTTGGAAGAATGATCGAGATGGAAATACGTGTTCAGCAGTGTCTGAACGAAGCAACTTTAACAAAATGGCCTAAGACTCATTCAAAACAACATTAAACAACAACAACAACAACAACAACAGCATACCCAGTATATTCCCAACAGGTTGGGGTCTGGGGGGTCAGTTGTACGCAGACCTTGCTCTTGTAATTATACAAGGAGGCTGTTTCCGTAGCGACCCAAGGTGCATTGCGCCGTTTGATATATTTTTTTTCTAGAAACTTCACTAATAGAAGAAGCACTAGAATTTAATTGAGCCATTTTGATGTAGTCCATTATTAGCACTATGTCAGGAGAAAAAGTAATCGAACTAATGCAATGAACATATATTAATTTGTGGAGCTCAAACTTACAGGAACTGATCCAGGTTTATATACAGTTAGGACATCCGGTTCACTATGAAGAATCTGAATATCATTCGCCGAAACTGGGGGTTCGTGCCTACAAACTTCATTATGTCAATTACTCTAATCACATCATAGTCAAAAGCAATAGCGAAAAAAAAAAAATAGAGAGGACAGCCATCAGAAAATAAGTCAACATACACTTCTGGATACTCTATCCAAAGGATTAAGAGAGGAAAAAAGATAATAAAGCTACTCGGACCAATACAAACCAGTGGAAAATGGCTTATCTTTTGTGACGACTAAACGACATACGACACAGGTACAATCTGTCCATCAACTTGTATACGTCCAGCCTTCACTGCACACACCTACACTCCACATAAGGCGTCCAAGACTTGAACTCGATAAACTTGTCCAGAATGCATATTTTGTGGTTTATCTCTGATTATGAAAATGCACAATTCACAACAAATAACCATACAACACAAGAACGCTACAAAGTATCATGTGAATACAAACAGCACAACAGTCCACACTCTGCAAGGTCAGACAATATTGTTACAACTTATACAAATTAAAATAACACATGCGTACAGCTTATCACAAGTTATGCACATAGAGGGAAAAGGATTACAAACATACATAATAATCGCGATCCCGCCCTTCAAATTCATCAGCAAACAAATCCACAATCGTCTTCCCAGCCCACCTATTCTTAGCCTGCTCNATTACACAAATCACCTCAATCTCAAATATTCACTAAAACAATGAAGCAAAGATAAACAAGTTACACAGACAAATGTACACTCACATGTGAAATGAACTCAAAATAGTAGGGCCGCACATATCTTATGCCTGCGGCACATTCAACGGAAACATTTGAACGCAGTTGTAAGTAAAAATACTCAACAGTAGTCAATACGAGAAAATAGAAATTAGAGTTTACGGAGTGAAATATCAATGTATGTTTTCATTATTACCGTCACGGAAATGTAAACGTGGCGTTGAGGAGGATTTGTGGGAGTTTGCCAGACACTCTCCATATGGTCGTCCGGTCCGTCTCTCTCCTAGCATTCTATCCCCTTTAGAAATGGAGGATTTTGAGGAGAGAGATGGGAATAAATGTAAGTAATACTTAGTAATTCATTTACTTAAATTAAAAGTAAAAAACATAGTAATAGAAGTTTTAAAATTAAATTTTTTAATATTTATTTAAATGTGTGTAATTATATATATTTAAAATTGATACATATTACACTGGCTAAATTTATATTATAATTACTTTTTAATTTATATTTTATTATAGATTTGATTGATAAATTTATATAATTTATAAATAAAATTTAAATTTTAATTCGAATTGATAGATAAGTTAATTTTTATTTATAAAGATATATATAGTTATTTTTTATTTTATATATTGGATATGAATGTAAAATTGAATATCAACATAACATAATTAGTTCGATATAACATATAAGAAAAATTTTTGTCAGATGTCTATAGAATTTCTGTCCACCGTTTACTAGACATGATAGAATCTCGTAGGACAATATTTATGTCCATGAACAATATTTTTTGTCAAAATAACCTTTTATAGAAAATAAATTTCGAGTGAATCACAAATTAAGCTCGAATGAGAAGATTTGACTGAAAATTGAAAATAAATCCTCGTGTATTTTCAAATGCTCAATATCAATTATTTTTTGTTCTGTAAGCAAAATATCAAGTTTTTATAAAATTCTGGATTTTTGAAAATGTATGGAAAATGTATCGGAGTTTGTTTCCAAAAGTTCTTTTGTTTCTAAATGTCGCGGATTTAGAAATTACACCATATCATAATGATAAAATTTGTTTAAATTAATGATAAGATTTAATTAAACTTATCAAAACTTTTCAAAATTATGGTTAAAAATAGACATAAGAATCCACAAAAAATCGATGTATTCAACACATGGGTTTTCCTTATAAAAGTTGCACACATTTTTTAAATTAATTTGAATTTATTTTACTAAATAATTGGATAATGTTTGACATTAAATATTAAACATCAAATTCAGAATTAATTTTTTACCACAAATGTGGATACGGAACTGATTTTAGTTACAAAAAAATGTGAATACGATTTTGATTGTATATTTCATTCAAATCTCAAATATTGTTTCAAAATAAAAAATGCACGTGTTTTTTTTTTTAAATCTTATAATAGTAAGTCAATCAATTTATTTTTTTAATCAAACTTACTAAAAAAAGACATATTTCAAAGCTACTATAAATATGAATTTAAATTTTTTTTATCGTTCCATTGATTTTGTAACGTTTTAACATTCGCTACACCTCAAGAGCCCTTAAGTATTTGAACTCCAACCTCTATTCAACGGGAGAGGTTTCAAATTTCAATACTACCAAAGCTTGGTGTTTATTAACTATGCTTTGTTTCTAGCTACAAGTCAAAATATAAAAAGAGATAAGTTTTAATTTGTTAATATAAATTCTAAGAAGTAGATAAAATATAATTGGTCAATAACATAATGCTATTGACTATTGTATAGAAATTATCTTAAATATGCAATAGCAATATACACTAGCGTTAAATTAACTTGTAAGTAAAGCGAAAAACATTTTTAAAAAGAAAATACTATATATGCTCCACATAATGTGATCATATTTATTAACTATTAATTCATTCTACTATAACTCCGAAGACAAGGCCTAATGACATTTATATTTAATCTATGATTTTTTCTAGTGCGGTTCGTATTATGAATTTTGATATGTGTAAGGTCAACTTACTAAATAATATGTGGATCTATAATAAATGAATATTGCAATTCATTATGTACACTATATTATGAACACATTATATCATTGTTAACCTTAACTAATAAATAAGATACTAGTGAACAGTGAATAAGCACCGTAAAAGTTGTGCTGATTACTTAATTTTGATTTGAAATATAGTCTGTAAGCAACGGCCTGTGTAGCAATATCCAATAAAAACATGTCTCTGGACATTAGTATCCATTATAACTCTTTAATTACAAGTGGATATTCGCCAGAATATTTTAGAAATAATCGATTGACAGTGTATATGGTTGCTACTATAGTTGAAATTATCATATTATTTATGACGATAACTACCGTAGTTGAAATTGTAATGTTATTAATTATGATGATGTGAATTGTGATGGTATTAGTGAGATTAATAAGTATTATTACTTGCCACTTAACTGCCAGGTAAAACGAAATGCGTGCGCCATCCAACATTATCCAATTAATTTAGTTATGAGTAGCTTATATTTAATTTAATAATTGACTAATATATGTATGGATTAATTTTATAGTTATCAACTTAGTTCTTCTATGCTACGGCGGTTGTCATGTTTCTTCTTGGCGTGCTTTATGGGACCACTTTACACTCTTCAACTCATAGAATGCGGGCCTACTGTCTCTTTGCGTGTCAAATGTCAATAGGAGCTTATTCATGGATTATTTATTTATAATAATTATTAATATTATTGTAAATGTTGAATGGTACTAACTACTAATACCATTGTAAATTATTATTTATTCTTTCATTTATTTTCCTTTTTATTATTTTTATTATATTATAAGTTTCATAATTATTACTTGCTTTTTGCGTATTACATCACCATGCCCATACGTGCGCCATTTCCTTATCCATTCATCGATTTCTTCTTTTAATTATCGTCCTTATAAATAAATCACAGAACAGAAAAAAACAAACAGATACCAACTACCATTGTAGAATTAGCCATTACTGCACGTAAGATGGGGCGTTGAATTGTCGCCTTTTTTTATTAGTGGGGTGATATACAAATCTGTTCATCTTTTGACAATATCTCGTTTCATTTATTACACTTCTTCAAAACAATAAATAAATCAAAATTAAAAGTGTGACACTACTACACTATATAATAACACAGTATTCCCTGCTTTTGATTAGAGTTAGAAACAAGTACTCTCAAATTATCCAAATTTGCCCTTGAAAGCTATAACATTTGTTTTTAGCTTACATTAAATGAGTTTCCCATCCTCAATACATCCTTCCATGTAGTTCGAGATGTTATAAAAAGCCTCATTCATGGAAAAATCACAAATAGTTAAGCCCTTTTGTTCACTTCCTCAAATTATGCGCAATACAACCGAGCCAAGAGTGAAATCCATGTTCGACCTGGCCTACGACAGAGGTTAATTAAAAGAGTTCCACACAACAAAAATCCCAAATCTTGTCANAAAAAAAAAAGGAAAAAAAAAAGTAATAATAAATAAGTCTTATCATCAGCCTCACACCATATATTGATTCACTTATACATATTCATGGAAATGGGAAGAAGTTCGATCCTGAAGAAGCTGGAAAAATACCTGATGAGCAATGAGAAGCGAGGAGGGAAGCAATCAGGCAAAAGCAGCAAGATGTTGGTGAAGAGCGGATCGTGGCCCAAAAAGACCAAAATGACCCCAAACGGATGCTTCTCTGTGTACGTGGGCCCTACAAGGCAGAGGTTCGTGATCAAGACCGAGTCAGCCAATCACCCGCTGTTCAGGATGCTGCTGGAGGATGCTGAGCTGGAATATGGCTTCAAAAACGAGGGCCCTTTGCTGCTGCCGTGCGACGTTGATCTTTTCTGTAGTGTTTTGGCCGAGATGGACGGTGGAGATCATCCGGACTCTTGTGGGCCCACCTATGCATGCGCCAGCCCCTTCTTGACCAGGTCCCGGACTTCCTACGCCAACCTCAACATTAATACTTATTTCTACCAATAATCGGTTTATCATTTGTAGACTTTTTGTTTCCATGTTTATAATTAATGTCTAGCTAGGGTGCATGTAAGACCCGATAGATCGATGTAAATGATTGATATAATTTGTATCAGATGTATATGCGTGTAATGTTGTGGCATGGTGTCCCATATATGATCAATTGGAGCTTTTTATGGTTATGGCCTAGGATAGTGTAAATTGACTCCCCAAAAAAAAATTGTTTCAGATTATGCCAAGCTAGTATCTTTTGGATTCACTCACCGTTTCAGATTTTGCCTCGAATCGTCTCTCACCAATTTGTTCGCCGAAGACCTGCAAAATACGCAAGGAGGTGTTTTCCGCGTAAAACCTCCGACGATCAATTTAATGAAACATTATGGAAATCTAAATATAGTATAGAGTGATTAACATTTTACTTTTCATACCTTTCACCTATTTAGTGAATCATTGACTTATTGAACAAGCATTACTCTGTCTGACTGTCCGACAGCCTACCCGAGTGCCCGAACTGCTTGAGGGCCTGCCCGACAATTATTTGGCTACCCCTAGGTCTGCCTATTAGAAACCTTGAATCTGATGAACAAGATGACAAGGGCAAAGAAGGAAACTCGTGCACGAGAGAACGGTTTCAACATGATCATGCATGATCATGCAGTGCGGTTATTTAAAGCATGATTGGATATAAAAAGTTTTTATTTTGATTGGATTTTTAGTTTGGGTTGGTTAAATTTGAAAAAGTTAGTATGGTTAGTTGTTAGTGGATATATTTAAATAATATTTAAAATAAAATAATTAAAATTAAATTAATGTAAAAGTAGGAGAGAGAAGATATGATGTGATGGTTAGTTAAAAATTATGTGAGTTGATGAATAGTGAATTAAGGTTGATATTGTGTGTAAAAATGATTGATTGATATTATTTAATTATATTGATAATATTGATGATAGTAGGGTTGAGTTAAAGTTGAGTTAAAAAAAATGGTTGAGTTAAAAATGTTTGGATTTTTTTGGGTTGGATTTATATCCAATCATGCTATTAGCGATTAGAGGCAATGGGAAGGTAGATAGTATTGTTGTATATAAATATTGATGAACAAGAGAGTTCATGTATTATTATGTATTGAAAGGAGTGATCATTAAGCGTACGTAGTTTTAAGATTCAAAGTTTTAGTCTCACTTTTCAGTTTTCTTTATTATCTTCTTCTTCATGTTCATGTAAGGATTTTATGCCCGAGACTCATTTTTATCTGCAAGAAGACATCATTTAGATTTTTCCAGTATAGCCCTACACGTATCCCGTATCAACATATCTTATACTTCATCCATAGGTCTTCTTACTCTCTTTGCCCTGCAAGTCGTCCTCAAACTAACTCGAACTGACTGTAACCGGTTTATCCGAGCTACACTATATATGTGAGTAATATTTTGATAGGGTAATTGAGTATATAGACTAACTGAGTATATTCGTAATTTCTTGGACTTGACTGGAAAATCCAGTATTGAATAAAAGGATATATTTGAGACAAAATTGAATCAGACTTAGTCTTATGGGACTAATAATACATTTAATTGATACTCAACTGATCAAGTTGCAAAATTAATATATATATATATAGACCAAAAACATAACTACAATACGCATTTGGGTCACGAAATTAGTGCCTTTTTTAGACCAACGAATTTGGAGTTGATGTTTCAAATGTAACTTTCCGTAGAAAATTACATAAAATTAAGGGGTGACATCGAATTAGCTAAAGCTAGCTTGCTAGAGAAACCTTTATATTCCAAAACAAAATAAAAAAAAAAAGGCCTTTACATGAATTTCATTAACAAAGAATATCAATGGAGGAAATCAACATTTTGACTTATTACAAAAATAAATAAATAAATGGGTTTTGCTTAAAAAAATGAGCAAGGTCAGCTATGTGATTACATCGGGTTTTTGCTCACGTGTTGAATGATGTCGTACTCCAATAATTGCATATTTTAGATAAGACTATTTTGGTCCATATCGCGTATGGGTCGACTAGGTTTCTGGTGCTTACAAAAACTACTTTTGCGACTTTTATGTTAAATCGAAAGAGTTCACTGATTAATGAAGATAAACATATTAGTTCTCACTTACTCTAAATTACCAATTGTCATATTCAGCCAATTTGCAGTGTAAGTGCATGAATTAGACATGTTGGACTTTTTTTAGCATACGTTTATTCGTTCATGGCATCATCATTTCATTTCACTGAGCTGTAGCCAATTGGCGGGCGCGGCCAATGGCCGGCTGCTAATTGGAAACTAAAATCAAGTTGGTTAAATTATGTATAGGGTTTTATGAGATAATTATTAACTAGGTGGGGCTGTTAATGGGGTGGGGCGATTGTTTTAACGTGAACTTTGTTGTTTATTGGTGTTGAAGCACAATAAAACTCCTGTCTATTTTATATCTAAACAGCGTGTTTCAACTCAATACTAACATAATCAACAAATAAAAACGAATGAGTTTTGAAGGCAACAAATACCAAGAGATAGCTCATCGACATTCATCAATATTTTATAACTTTTCGTATATTGTTGCACTTTCCCAATTCGACATTTACAAAAATAATTATAAAATTATCTTATAAAACACCAATGATAGAAAGTTGACAAGTAGATGTATAATTAATTAAATTTCCTACCACCACTTAATTTTTAGCTATTTTTTCACGTAACTTGAGGCGTTGAAATCAGCACGCATTACCTGCCTAAGTAGGCACCCAAATTCAGAAATCTGTTCATCTAGTTGACAAAAATTGCATCAGTCCTTATATATACGAGTCCCATCATACATATATATGAAAAACAGCTACTCATGAAAACAATTGAACCTGATCATCAATCAATAGCGCAAACATTTTTTTTCCTTCAAAATCATGAGCAACAATACAAAACCAAGAATGAGGTGCATGTTCAATTTAGCCTACGATAGAGGTTGAAAGAAAAAAAAAAAAAACCATTTTACCATTTTAGCCTACAAAACCATTTTTACCATTTTAATTTCTTGTTAGTATCATAAAACAAAAAAAACCAAACTCCACCACGTAGATGGAAGCCGAAAAAGCACACGACAAGCGGAAAAATCCCGTACTCAAGAAGCTCGGGAGACTTCTAACCCGGAAAAATCAATACGTGTTTTCAAAGAGCCGATCATGGCATGTCGAGAACAAACGCCACAAAAAGACGAAAAATAATACACCAAGAGGATGTTTCACGGTTTATGTGGGGCCCGATAAGCAACGTTTTGTGGTGAGGACTGAATCGGCCAGCCACCCTCTATTCAAGATGCTGCTTGAAGATGCTGAGCTGGAATATGGTTTTGAAAGCGGGGGCCCTTTGCTCATTCCATGTGAGGTAGATCTCTTTTGCAGGATCTTGGCGGAGATGGACGGCGGGGATGGGCCGGGTGAATATGAGTGTGGTTTGGGCCTTGGGTGTGGGAGCCCGTTCAGCCCAGCTAGGCGTTTGGGTAAGAGTGAGATGGGTAGAGGTTGGGGATCTTATGGGCTGCTCACGCCACCCCGCTCGCTTAAGATTAATAACTTTTAGGTCCGTGGTTTATTGTATTTTTGTGCTTATTTTTGTGTATTTTATGTGTTTTAGTTTAGTATTTTTAGGTTCGTTTTAGAGTCGACCGGTCTATTTTATCGTGTTTTGTGCATTTGTATTCTCGTTTTGTATTTTTGTGGTTCGGTGTATTTTTCTTGTCTTTTTGGTGTTGTTCACGATTCGAGTCTAGGGAGACGAGCCATTTCCGAGCCGTTCGAACCATGTTCGAGCCACGTGAACCATTTTCGAGCATATTTATTAATTGCGTGGTGACATCTATTTGCGCATCTTAAGACGAGGAGAAAAAGATGTAAGGGGCGTAGGTCAAAATTTCAAGTAATCGAATAATCGTGCGATGAAATAAAGCTTAAAAAGTCGAGCCACAATCACCGGGACTAGACCAGCACCTCGAGCCCGTGCCCGCGAGTTGCGCATGCCCTCGAGCTGCCAAGCCAGCGCCAGCGAAAGGTGTTGTAGCCCGCGAGTTCTCAGGATTGCTGCCCAGTGCCCGCGAACTCCGAGTCCCACGCCCGCGAAAGGTGTTGCAGCCGCGAGTGCCCAGGAATTCCCCCAGCGCCGCCCGCGAGTTCCCCATATATGCCTGCTTTCCCGCAAGTTTCTTTCCTCTGCGCCCGCGAGTCGCCGACGTCCCGCGAGTCCATGCACCCACCCTTTGCCAGCGAAATTGCCCTGCGAAATTCCAACTTTAACTCGCGAGTAACTCTTACCTCGTGAGTTTTGATCATTAAATGTGTGTGTTTGTGGTGTAGCTATATATAGACTTGATGCTTTGTAATTTGGAACAATTCCTCATTTGCTAAAATCTTCCTTTTAGTTTTTCTCTCCTCCTTCTCTCTAGTTTTCTTTCTCTCTCTAAGGGCTCTAAGACCCTATTTTTATTGTAATATTTCTCCATTAAGATTACAACTTTTCGGCTTATTTCTTCTCGTGGATTCACTATAGACTTGGAGCCTTCGTTTAAGGTCCGATTGGAGACTTAGTTGAAAGTCTAAGATCTCGTAAGTCTTGTTTATATTTAACTTATAGATTTTTCTAAGGTTAAGATAAGAGTTTCAATGAGTTGATTATGCTATCATCCTCGTAGGCTATGATAAGTTAATCTTGTTGTTTGAAATATGTGTCCAGTATTTGCTTTAGCATAGTAGTTATTTTATTTTTGAATACAAGCTAGTAGAAGTTATTTGAGTAGAAGTTATTTTTTAGTGTTCAGTTATTTTACTTTGTTTATATGAATGAAAAAAACCAGAAAATGATGCATCCGTTTTTTTTGCATCCAACTTCCTCCTGTGTCATTTTTCTTCTCTTATTTTTGATACCAGTAAGAAGAAAAACAACAATTAAAATCTCTGAACCAACATTTGGTATCAGAGCAAGGTTGCGATAGCTGAGTGTTCAAGAATCCATGTCAAGCAAAGAAGGTGTTGTGTCAACAGAAGTTGTCAAGACGATGACAAAAGGAATTTCAGTCCCGATCCAATATCCTATGTTAAGCGAATCAAACTACAGCATGTGGGCTGTTAAGATGAAGATCATCATGCGTTCGCTAGGGGTATGGTCAGTGATTGAAGGCACAGACAGAGATGACGACAAGGATCAAGGAGCAATGGTAGCTATATCTCAGGCAGTGCCAGATGATGTCATGATGGCAATTGCAGAGAAGCAGTCGGCTAAGGAGGCCTGGGAAGCACTAAGAGAGATGCGAGTCGGCGAAGATCGTGTCAAGAAGGCACGAGTACAGGTGCTAAAACGACAACTGAACAAGTTACAAATGGAGGATTCTGAAAAAGTAAATGAGTACTCTATGAAACTTACGACGTTGGTGGCTGAAATTCGATCACTTGGCACGAAAATCGATGATAGCTAGGTGATTGAAAAGTTATTCAGTTCAGTGCCAGATCGTTTTCTTCAGATTATTGGTACTATTGAGCAATTTGGGGATATTGAGAATATGTCAATATCAGAGGCAATTGGTCGTCTCAGAACCTTTGAGGAAGGGCTTAAAGGTCGAGAGCTGTCAAAGGGCAGTGAGAATCAACTACTTCTCACTCAGGCTGAGTGGGAGGCTAAGTGTGCAAAAGGGAAGAAAGATGGAAATTTCAACAGCACTAAAAGAGGAGGCTATCACGGAAGAGGTCGAGGACGTGGACGTGGACGTGGTCAAGGTAGAGGTCGAGGAAATGGTGGTCACACTTTTGATGAGCGGAGATCACGAAATTTTGACATATCTAAGGTGAAATGTTACAATTGCAATGAATTTGGTCACTTTGCAAAAGATTGCCCAAAACCAAACCGAAGGCAGCAAGCCAATCTTATTACGACACAAGCAGATGATGAGCCGGCACTTTTGATGACAGAAGTTTGTATCCTTAGCCATGAAATACAGAGTAAAAAGTTGCTACTGCACGAAGACAAGGTGGTGCCAAAGTTGAATGGCAACCAAGACAAGTCATGGTATCTAGATACTGGCGCAAGTAATCACATGACTGGTAGTATCGAGAAGTTTGCTGAAATTGATACAAACATTAAAGGGTCGGTCAAGTTTGGAGATGGGTCAACAGTGGATATACAAGGAAGAGGGTCTGTTTTATTCGAGTGTTTCACTGGTGCACACCGAATATTGACAGATGTATACTACATCCCGATGTTGAGAAGTAACATAATAAGCCTTGGTCAGTTAGATGAGAACGGGTGCAAGATTATGGTTGAAGGAGGGGTGATGTCAATTTTGGACAGAACTCAAAAATTGTTAATTAAAGTAAGCAGGTCGAAGAACCGTTTGTATGTGCTACATATCAATCCTACACATCCAGAGTGCCTCCTGACTAGAAGCAAAGATAAGGCGTGGTGCTGGCATGCAAGATATGGTCATGTGAACTTTAATTCCTTGAAGCTTCTAAGTCAAAAACAGATGGTGCATGGCCTGCCCATAATTGAGCACGAGGACCGTATTTGCGATGGTTGTTTAATCGGAAAGCAACATCGAAATCCATTTCCAGCAGTGACGAAATTCCGAGCGAAATCACCTTTTGAGTTATGGCATGGAGATTTGTGTGGGCCAATAACTCCTGCTACAAATGGAGGCAAGCGTTATTTTCTACTGTTGGTTGATGATTGTACTAGATTCATGTGGCAGGTGCTGATTCGAAGCAAAGATGAAGCGTTCGAAGCGTTTAAGAAGATCAAAGCTGCAGCTGAAATGGAGAAAAACAGTAGGCTGAAAGCTTTGCGCACGGATCGAGGCGGAGAATTCACCTCAAATGAGTTCAAGCAATATTGTGAGATGATGGGAATTAAGCGTTATTTAACGGCGCCATACTCTCCTCAGCAAAATGGAGTTGTTGAACGAAGAAATCAGACGGTGGTCGGCATGGCACGGAGCTTGTTGAAAAGCATGGAAGTTCCAGGTGAATTTTGGGGAGAGGCGGTGTCAACTGCCGTGTATCTCCTAAATAGAGCACCAACAAAAAGTGTCACTGGAAAAACTCCTTATGAAGCATATTTTAATCGCAAACCCTCTGTTGAACACTTTCGCATATTTGGATGTGTGGGACACGTAAGAGATACTACACCTCATCTTTCAAAACTTGCAGACCGAAGTAAACAAATGGTGTTCATTGGATATGACATGAATACTAAAGGCTATCGGATGTTTGATCCAGTGACAAGACGAGTTGTGGTGTCACGAGATGTAGTGTTTGAGGAAGAGAAGAAGTGGGAGTGGAACAAAGTTCCAGTTACAGAAACACGAGGAGTAGGGAACACACCTTCGACACAATATTTTACGGTTGAAGGTATGTTTGATACAGAAAATAGGGAAAATCAACAGAGTATCAGTGAGTCTGGTATTGATATAGGTAATTCTGGTTCAAACTCACCACATACCCCAGAAGTTAATGGGGGTGAATTTAACGAATCAGTACAACCTGAAATGATCGAGGAAAGTTCATCAGTCGGTCCACGTGGAAAGCGAGATCTTAAAAGTTTGTATGATAGAACTTTTCCAATTGATTTAGAATATTCAGGGCTGTGTTTGCTAGGAGAGGAAGAGCCGTCGAGCTATGAAGAAGCCAAAACAGATCCGAGTTGGAGAATAGCAATGGAGGAAGAAATATCTTCTATCCAGAAAAATGAAACTTGGAAACTTGTTACATTGCCAGACAACCAGAAAGCAATAGGACTGAAATGGGTCTTCAAATTGAAGAAAAATGCTGAAGGGAAAATTGTGAAGTATAAAGCGAGATTGGTAGCTAAGGGGTATGTTCAAAGGCAAGGTATAGACTTTGACGAAGTGTTTGCCCCAGTTGCTCGGTTGGAAACAATACGGTTGCTGCTCTCAATTGCAGCACATGAAGGTTGGGAAGTGCATCATATGGATGTGAAATCCGCTTTCCTTAACGGCGAATTGGAAGAGGATGTATATGTTATCCAGCCACCAGGTTTCGAGATAAAAGGAGAAGAGCATAAGGTGCTGAAATTATACAAAGCGTTGTACGGTTTGAGACAAGCACCTAGAGCGTGGAATTCAAAACTGGATAAGTCACTGAAGGTGCTATGTTTTGAGAAGTGTTCTTTAGAGCATGCCGTGTACACCAGAAGTCAGAAGAAAAGGAACTTAATTGTTGGTGTATATGTGGATGATTTAATTATTACGGGAGAGAGCATTCAAGATATCGATAAATTTAAATCTCAGATGAAAAGGTTGTTCAGCATGAGTGACCTTGGGTTACTTAGTTATTATCTGGGAATTGAAGTTTGTCAGACTCCTCATAAAATTACTCTAAATCAGTCAGCTTATGCGAGAAAAGTATTAGATAAATGTGGGATGAAAGATTGCAATTCAACACATATTCCGATGGAGCCACGTTTGAAGCTGAACAAAGAGAGTACTAATCCTCCAGTTGATAAAACCTTGTATCGAAGTGTAGTTGGTAGCTTGAGATACCTATTGCACACGCGACCGGATTTGGCGTTTTCAGTTGGCATGGTGAGCAGACACATGGAGAAGCCCACAACAGAGCACATGGCAGCAGTAAAGCACATATTACGCTATGTGAAAGGTACGTTAAATCTCGGTTGTGTTTATGAGAAGAAGGAAGGAGTTTTGGAGCTGGTCGGATATTCTGACAGTGATCTAGCTGGTGATACCAATGACAGGAAAAGTACTTCGGGATTAGTATTTTTTCTTGGGTCTAATCCGATTAGTTGGTGTTCACAGAAACAGAAAGTTGTTGCACTTTCTTCTTGTGAAGCTGAGTATATCGCTGCATGTGCAGCAGCGTGTCAAGGAGTATGGCTGGGGCGATTGCTAGCAGATTTATTGAAGGTCGAGGTTAAGAAAGTGGTGCTGAAGATCGATAATCAGTCCGCAATTGCATTGAGCAGAAACCCAGTTTATCATGAGAGGAGTAAGCATATCGATACCCGTTTTCACTACATCAGGGATTGCGTTGAATCAGGGATGATCGAAATTCAACACGTTTGCACAAAAGATCAGAGTGCTGATATTCTAACTAAGTCGTTGGCAAAAATAAAATTCCAGGAAATGAGAGAAAGGATTGGTGTGAAGGCCATTGGTAGAGAACAACAAGCTTAAGGAAGAGATTGATAAGTTAATCTTGTTGTTTGAAATATGTGTCCAGTATTTGCTTTAGCATAGTAGTTATTTTATTTTTGAATACAAGCTAGTAGAAGTTATTTGAGTAGAAGTTATTTTTTAGTGTTCAGTTATTTTACTTTGTTTATATGAATGAAAAAAACCAGAAAATGATGCATCCGTTTTTTTTGCATCCAACTTCCTCCTGTGTCATTTTTCTTCTCTTATTTTTGATACCAGTAAGAAGAAAAACAACAATTAAAATCTCTGAACCAACAGGCTAGGGTTTATATTATTTTGTTATTGATTGCGTTAGCTTAATTGCATGAGCGAGAATTGATTGAGAGATCGATTGATTGATCGCGAGTGACGATTTCTTGATTACATGTTCCCAAACCTAAGAGTGCCTTCTTTCCATCTCGGGTCTAGGGGTACCTTCTTATTTTTCTCTCTATTTTCTTTTTTCGTGCAATTTGAGGACTTGTTTGCTTTTGAATTCGTATGTGCTTTCACTCGTTCTTAAATTGTGATTTTTAGCTTAATTCAATCACCAAAATGCGAGTAGAAAGTTTAGGACCTTTTATTTTTCTTCTGTATCGTTGCTTGAATCCGTGTCTGAAAAGCCGTCCTTTGAGAACGACCCGAGTCCGGGTAGCTCGGTTACCACTTACCCAAAAATACTACAAACACCCGTATTTCAACACGCTCACTTTTATATTAGAACAAATTTGCATATTTTCCGATTCCATCAACTTAACAACATATATACGATTTAATTTTATCTACTTAATTTGTTTCCTTAATTTTCTCAATTTTCATTTATCTTCTCCTTAATTTTCTCATTCTTTACATTATCTCTCATATCTCATCCGTTTCTTTCTCTTACTTTTTTTGTTTTTATTCTTCAATCTTGTCAACTCTCTCTCTCTCTCTCTCTCTCTCTCATGGAGATGAGATCGAATCGGATTCGAGGGCAAATCCTTCTTAACCGCGGGAGGATGATGGAGATGAGATCGCGCTTGCCTTTCTGGACAAATACGATCGAATCCCGGTTTTAGTTTAATTATTTAGTAGCTTGATTATTTATTTCTATAGTTATTATTATTTACTTTATTTATATTATTAAGTTGGTAGGAAAATAATTATTTTATTAGGTATTTACTTATCTAGCAAGATAGGTCTTTTGATTGTTTAGAACTCTATTTATATCTGTTTTCTAGGCCTCAGACGGCAGCTTTGAATGAAATAAAAAATATAGTCAGCTTTTGAGATTTATTTATCTCTGTTCCCTTTCGTTTAACGCTGCGCTACATCATTTTGTATCCAGAGATTAGCTACTATCCACGATGCCGCCCAAAAGGAACGACACGGCTGACGACAGATGGGATGCGACAATTGAAGCCCTCACGCGACAAGGCGAGGGTTTCGGGCGACAATTTCAGTCGATGGGTCGTGATATGGCAAACCTAACGATAGGCATGGAGGATATTCGCGAGGCTCTCCAAACGCTGATGCGACGAGAACAAACGAACCGCGGCGGGCCCGATCATCGGGACAACAGTCGCGGTGGGTATCGTGGTGGCCGGGGGGGTCGCGGTCACGCGCGATTTGGTGGCAGACGACGTTCGCCTGCGAGGAAGAGGGTGGCGATTCAGATGCTACGGAGGAGGAGTGCAACTCGCTCGACCGAGGTAATCCACGAGCAGACGAGGAGGCGCGCGACAAGAGGCGTTGGGAGAACTCGTTCTGCTCGGATATACCAGAGTTCTCGGGTGGGCTGGACGCAGCCGATAGGAAAGTTCACGGCGGTTGGGCCTGGTGCTAGCAGGGATACTGGTACTTCCGGTCCAGGGCGGACAGCGGCAGCGGGCTTAGGCCCTTCTGGTGTTGCGACTGGTTCACAGCGAACGTACGGACGTCGGGCTGGCTTCGATGTTTTTCGTGTGGCGAGATGGGCCACAGGCAGTCGGCGTGTCCTCGACCCGGTGGCGTTTGGGCTTTATTTGCAGAGGACTCTGGTGAGCAGGGCGAGCATCCTTTATACGACTCCCCTCCAATTTTCGACAAGGAGCCCGAACCTGCTGAAGAACATGTATACGGTGATGTCGGTCGTGCTTTGGTTCTTCACGGTTCGTATCTCTCCCCTCGAGTTTCTTCGGAGGACTCTTTTCATGCACCGCTGACATGTACCGAGTCATCCGAGGACATGGCCCACGGGGGTGCTCTCGACCGGCATGTTTGTTTTCCAAAGGATCTCGAGGTTTCTTTGCATGTGGAGAATGCCTACATTATGGAATCACAGTATGGTGTTGCAACTCATGTGAATGGTGGCGCTGCTACAAATCCTGCTACAACATCTACTGGGCAATTGCTTGCAGTTCTCGAACTGAGTAGTTGTGATTTGTGTGGGTTTGATGACTATAGTGAGTCTGCGGTGTACAAATTATGGGTGGTTGGGCATATTGGAGGTGAAAAAAATAAAGAGCAGGTTGGTTGTGGAAATTCCAATGCTTTTGGTGTTGGCTCCAAATGCTTTAGTTGTGAACCCGTTATGAATGTTTTTGCTGGGTATTTATTTGTTGCCAACATGTCGACAAAATTGTATTTTGATGGTCCTGGTGGTGGGAGGAAGAATATTGTGGGTGGTTTTGTTGGTTTTCAAAATATCTGACACGACATGGATAATGATGACGCACGTATACCAGTTTCATTGGATCCAGTACAGCCTATTTTAGGTACACGAGTCATTGGTAATGAGTTTGAGGTCGGTGATTATGTGTGGACGGTCTTGCTTGCGGACAACTTTTCGGCTAGCGCGTATACCAAGTTGTCGGTTCGTAAAATGGGCCCGGTCATGATCAAAGAGAATATCAATCCTCATGCGTACCGTCTTTGTCTACCATCGTACATTCGCACGTCTGACGTGTTCGATGTCGCGCATTTGAGGCCGTATCTAGGTGCCACATCGGACAGAGATGAGATCGAATCGGATTCGAGGGCGAATCATTCTCAACCCGGGGAGGATGATAGAGATGAGATCGTGCTTGCCTTTCTGGACAAATACGATCGAATCCCGGTTTTAATTTAATTATTTAATAGCTTGATTATTTATTTCTATAGTTATTATTATTTACTTTATTTATATTATTAAGTTGGTAGGAAAATAATTATTTTATTAGGTATTTACTTATCTAGCAAGATAGGTCTTTTGATTGTTTAGAACTCTATTTATATTTGTTTAAGATAGGTCTTTTGATTGTTTAGAACTCTATTTATATTTGTTTTCTAGGCCTCAGACGGCGGCTTTGAATGAAATAAAAAATATCGTCAGACTTTGAGATTTGTTTATCTCTTGTTTCCTTTCGTTTAACGCAACGCTACATTACACTCCCTCTCTACTAAATTTGGTTTTCTCTCCAATTAAAACTAATGTTTAACATTTCATATAATTGCAGTTATTTCTAAAATTTATACATAAATTTTTATCTAATTATAATTAATATTTAACATTACATTATAATCAAATTCTCCTCAATAATCTGATCCGAGTTTAACTTAAGTTTATTTTCAGTATATATTTTTCTGTTTCTGTCATCTCATCCACCACAGTAATACAACTCTGATGATCCGGGTTTAACTTTAATTTATCTTCAGTAATATTTTTCTCCAATATCGAAATTTAAGTACTCATCCACCACAGTAATACAAATTAATCTGATCTGGGTTTAACTTAAGTTTATCTTTTTAGTATATTTTTCTATTTTTGTTGGATTTTTGTATTTACTTCACATTGTTTATTTCTCGATTGTATGGCTTACTGATAAAATAATTATTTGTAAGATTCATGTTCATACAAATATACCAAACATGAACTATTAATGAACATTATATAAACAAATATGACGTGATGTGAACATGTTTAAAAGGTGTGACAAGGTTTACAAGGTATTATCCAAATGGAATGTATATGTTGCAAATTTAGATACAAAGACTTACACTTGCAATCGCTTCCAAATGAATGTACTTTCATGTCCATATGAAATTCATGTGTTCAGATCACTACACCTAGATGGAATACCATTTTGTTCTATTCACTACTTAACATCAACTATCTAAAATGTTCTGTTTATGTTTAGTTTATTTATAGATTACAAAACGTTTATGTTATCAAATCTCGTGCCATCGCTAATTTTTTTGTTAATATGTCAAACATAAACTATTAGTAAACGTTAAATAGATATTGAAATATTCCACAACTTAAATAAATCAAAGTATGTGAAAACATTTATCTCAACGACTAAGACTCAAACTTTGTATATAGTGAATATAAAGAAACAATAAAACCATCAAAAAAGATTATTACATCATAATCAAACCATCAATAAAACAGAACAAGTGTGTGGCGATGGCAACGCCCACGACCACCCTTCAAGTTTTTTCAGCATGCAGTTTGATCAGACTGGGTTGAAGCCACCTCAGTTGTTGATCGTTACTGCTGAATTGCGTCTGCATCAATGTTCATATATCTACGGCGTCACAGACGTATTCACGCCGCTTGACGGATCTTCTAATTCCAATCATTGCGCCACTCCCACCGCTAATCGTCATACTCACGTCGCCCCTTCATGAGTCGGACTCTAGTCAATCGTTGGTGTTGTTCCTAGACCCTTGACCTCTCGGTCGTGGTCGTCCATGGAACTCCATATTTCTGCGAGTGCAATTACAAATCGAATAGGAAGTTTAATTGTGATTTCTGAAGGTGTACTTTGTTCTGAAGGGAAAACTAATGAAACTTATAAGAGCATCTAATGCATTGGGTCTAGTCTTGCCTATATGGCATATAAATAAACTCAAGTTTTGAATGACATGGGTAAAACTATGTAAAATTGATAAAATCAATTCCAATGCAAAGAGACTAGGTCTCTACTTTGGTCTAAAATAGACTTAAGGGTAGACTGAGTCTCTTTTTCTAGCTGTCGAATCAGCAGGACTCAGTTTACTTTTGTTTGCATTGGAGAATACATTTTTTTAGACTAAGTCTATTTCTTAGAGCACCCACAATGAATTGGGTCTAATTTTACATATGTGAGATATAAATGAACTTAAGTCCTAAATGACATGGATAAACCCAAGTAAGAAAACTCAAAAGCTATTCAATGCAAAAAATAAAATACTAGGTACATGTCAACCAATAAAAATGCTCTAACATGTTTCCTTTATTAAAAAAAAAACTTAAATTAGAAATAAATAATGAGTGTTTAGGTTTGTACTTGGGTCCAAAATAGATTCAAGTGTGGACTTAGTCTCTTTTTTTTTATTGCCACATAAACTAGACTATGTCTACTTTTAATGGCATATGATATTTTATTAAGAGACCCAATGCATTGTGGGTGTTCTTAGGTAACATACAATCTTTTGTGATTGAATCCAAAGTATTGTGAATGCTTTAAATGTGATTGTATTTTTTTGGAACTGTCAACGAATAAAATAACTAAACTAAGACGTTTGGTCTACAGATAAAATCTCACAAATTCTGTCATTCCCTGTAATTATCTCGACTTACCCTCATTAAAAACTGTGAGTATGAAACTGTGTGTGCCCTTTTCGTTTATACTAGTGTGTACCTCGTGCGATGCACGGGAACAATATTAAATTAATAATATTATAAATAGACCTCGAGTTTGAGTCACTCAATGGCGGAAGTGGAAACTACTATTGATCCTATTTAAAAAGAGGAAGAAAAAATAATAATTATAAATTAAAGAGGAGGATAAACAATACTTAATAATTATAAATTAAAGATTCCGGGTCAAACAATGTAAAATTATTATATATAAGAGAATATAAAAAAAATTTGATTACACACTATTTCAAAATTATTATTATACTTTTTTGTATGATTAGCTTATAATATTTGTAAAAATATTAGTAATTAGACCGATGAAAATTAGCTTCTTAAAGTAGTTAATGGATTTCTAGTAGTAATTATGAATTTGTTTCTATTTTATTGTATTTTTTTCTTTTTAAAGATAATGGATTTCTAATAGTAATTATGAATTGGTTTCTATTTTATTTTATTTTTTCAAATCTGTATAGATAAGGGATGAGATTTTTTAAACACGTGAGACGTATGCAATGGGATTTTGTAACAACAAAAGAGATAAGCTCATGTAGATTTATACTAAAAATAGAAAAAAGAAAAACAAATATTTATTGTCAAACAACGGTTTTGATAAACTAAAGAATAGGAAAAAGAGAAACAAATATTTACACAATTAATGAGCCAATTTATTTGCCTATTCAGATTTGTCCAACAATTACTATATATAGGATATATTTAATGATTTTGGCGGGAAAATATTTCTAAATTTGTAAAAAAGTTATTCTTTTTATATAATGATAGATGCAAATAATTTGGTCAACTCTCGTAACTAAAACGCATTTTGACATAAGTTAGGTAAATTTCTCTATATTATCGGCTATTTTACACATAGACAATAACATTAGCCTTTTATTTGTATATAGATAACGAGCATGATAATTGCAACCTAAGAGCCTTTAGGTATAGGCGAAAACTGGTGGAATTTTAAACAAAAAAAATATATATATATATCTTTAAAAAAAAAATTTAAAGAACACCATTTTTTATTTAACATGATGCAATGTCCATGCATATCATTTTTTGTAAATGTTTGCTTGTGACAAAAAGCCAATAATATTCAAAAGTCAATAAATTTTTTGTTTGTTATCAATTTTTCACATATAATATATTGAATTAATTATTGTTCGATTTGACATCTATATTGCATATATAAAATAAAATAAACAAAATATTTTATACATATTAGATTATGATGTGTTTATGGCGTTTGAATTTTTTGGTGTTTTATTGGAGTTTATGGTATTTAAAAGAGTGCAAAATTAAATAACTACCCACTGTTGAACAGTACATTATAAAAAAAAACAACTTCACCAATCATTTAGACAAATGCATAGAAGAATTATAAAAATACGTGATTGAGAGAAAACTGAAATTTTAAAACTGATCAAATCACCAACCATTTTGTAAAAAAATTGCTGAGAAAAAAAAAACACCTTGCAAAACATAGATGTGTATGTAAAAAGGCATTTTTTGGTGGAAAAAAAATACATTAAAAAACTACCATTTGTTTGCAATAATTTACAGGTCTAGATCCAAACAAAAAAATTATGAAAAAAATTATAATTTCTAAAATCGATAATCCGATAGGAGATTGAAAAGGAAACAAAAACATAGTTACATCAAGAAATCAATAAAAAGAATATCATATATAAAAAAGGATTCGATTTATCGTTAAGTGATTAGATTGTGTTAGAAAGATACATGTATACCATACATTTTTATGAATTATATATATACTAGTACAATACTCGTGTATTATACGGGTGTTGAATTAGAAATCTTTTGTAAAAAATATTAGATTTTTTATTTTTGTAATAAATTAAAATAATTTAATTTTATATAAAACATTACTTTGGTTTTTAATTAAATTATCAAATTATATTTTTTTAATCATAATAATTAAACACTCGTACATTAAATGAAAATGTCAACCCGTATTGAAATTTTTTTACTTATATCGTATAAAAATATCGATATTATTTACTATTACATAAGTACAAAAATATATATCTTAAATAAATAGAAATAATATGGTGATATGTATATGCATAAGTGTAGAATATGTTTAATTAATATTAAGCAAAATAGATTATCTTTTTTACTTAATCAAATGAAAATGTCAACCCGTGTTGAATTTTTTTACTTCTATCATATAAAAATATCGATATTATTTACTATTACATAAGTTCAAAAATATATATCTTAAATAATTAGAAATAATATGGTGATATATATATGCATAAGTGTAGAATATGTTTATTTAATATTAAACAAAATAGATTAACTTTTCACTTAATTAGATGGAAAAATATGAACAAAATATCTAAAACGACATTTATCTTTTCAATGATCTATTAAGCCAAAGTGACAAATAATAAAAATAGGAGAGAGTATATATTATTATATAGTTTAATAAAAATGATCTATTATGATACATGTTACTTGTGCGACTTATATGTGTTATATTATAATAAATTTTCTACCTTATAAAATATAACTACATTAAACATAAATATATTAATTGATATTAATTTCAATTTATAATTAATTTTAATAATAATTTTATTATTATTATAAAGATAAATATAATTTATTTATTTTATATATACAATATGGATGTCAAGTCGAAGCTCATCAAAAGATGATTAATTTGATATATTATATATGTATAACCGATAAAAAATACAAAAGTTATCAACTTTTAAAATATATTATTAATTCAATGGTTATAATAGGAAACAATATTAAAATACAATCAATATAAATATTAATTTATACCAAGCCTAACTCCAAAGCATGATTTTTTGCCAAATAGGATTCCGAAGCATGAGAGTTTGGCACGTGGACTCAGCGCATTCTGAAATTATATATATATATAAATATATATATATATATATATCCATCATAATAAAAAAGAATAATTCCATCATTGCACTTTATTTTTATTTCTTTCTTCGACAGTAGAATCACGTGCGATGCACGGATAAGAAATATTCTTTAATATTTATAAATTAAAAATGCTCATTAAATAATATTTACAAATTAAAAATATAGAATCAACATGTAATACAACTTACCTTTATTAATTTGTTGAAAATGTTATATGAAATATAACTGTGCAAAATTACATTATATATGTCTATTTAAAATTGGTACACGACCAGTACGGTGCAACTAACTAATTATAAATTACATTGTATTCATTTCGAAATAGGTGTTATTTTAAAATTTTTATTCAAAAATTTGATTTGACTACAATGTGATTCAAGTAAATAATATACATATGTATATATATATATACACGAAATAATTTGATATGTTCCACCCACATTTACAAACTATAGTATTCTCCAGATTTTTCTCTCATTCATATAGAGTGAAATGCTAAGTGATAAAAAATATTAAAATATTATTTTTTACCATAAGCGGGTATATTGGATCTATTATACCAAATAATTTGATTTCGTACTTTATCGATACAATACAAAATATAATATTCACTTTTACCACAAAATTAATTGTCCAACGTACAAAACAAAATCGAGACCCACGTTTCTTATAGATAAAAATAAAAAAGACCCAAAAAACCGTTATTAAAAAATAATTAAATAGAAGCTGCCATTAATACAATTATTTTGGAATAATTTTATAAAAGATTGAATAAATCAACCAAATTTACTCGACTGTGTAATTAAGGTATCTTAAACATGTAAATTTGTATAGTCTAATTATTCAAAATTTGAGTAATTAAATACACAAAAAATAAATAACAATTATTAAATAATATTTAAATAAAAACTGTCATTAACAATTTCTTTAGAAAATTTTTTGCACATTGCATAATTAATTATTTTAGTTGATATTTTTATAATTCTAATAATTATTTGCAGATTGAATAAAGCATTTGGATTTACACAATTTACTTTATTAGAGTATATTAAAAATGCATTACATAAAAGAATTACACGAAAAATATAAAATGCTTATTAAATAATTAATTATATAATTTTGTTGGAAGATTTTTACCAAAATCACATCATTGATATTGCATTCAAAATTTCCATATTTAAGTAAATCAGCCAAATTCACATGATTTGAGTAATTAAAGTATCTTAAAAATGATATTTTTTTAATGACATATCATTTCCTTAAATAATGGGCCGCAATTTTCATAAGTGATTATTAGAAATATACCATTGTTAAATTAATTTCTTGAAATAATAAATAGATTTTTTATAGAGAAAAATAGTTACTATTTAAAAAAATAATATAACATTTATATATATATAGATTTGCAGAAAACCGTTTTCTTCCTCGCCAAAATTTGCTCTTCCCCAAGGTATGGCGTCTGCAAGGAGTGAGATGTTGCACGCAAAAGAAGGTAAGGAAGAGGAGCGTGGATCAGCAGCTGACAAAGAGGAAGAGGAAGCGAAAATCGCGAGCTTCCTGGAGCAGATCAAAGATCTGAGCATATTACCCTCTATGTTGGATATCGAAAAGGACACCAACTGCTGCAATCTTTTGCAGGAGTGGATGACATATAATAGCAGGTAAGTTATATGTTATATGCTACCACTAATAATTCATTCATATTTCTTATTTTTCAATGGTTTCTTCTTATTTGCATAATGTTTGATTGTTTTTCATTCAAATTGTAGGGAATTGAGAGGGATAGATCTCGGGGATGTGAAACATTATAGTGATGCAGAGCTCCGCGTCTTCACTAATGGATACAGTGAGGACAACTTATTCTGTCGGACTCGTCATGGCCGATTGTTTAAGGCCATGGATTACAATAACAGGAAATTGGCTGTCAAAACTTTGGATGTTTCCTCTCCTTATAGATCATTATCATATCTAACCCCGCCTAGACTCCATGTAATAATAATATATTGCTCAGTTATTTGTTTTTCATTTTCTTAATTGTCCTTGCAGAGTAGTACTAATTCACTTGATTTTTGCATCAGAATTTACTTTACAATCAAGAGTAATATGTGTTAATGTTGTTGTCATGCATAGGCTGAAATTGTGCTTCTCAGAGACCCCTTGATTAAATCCCATCCCAACTTTGTCAAACTCATTGGATATAGCTGTGAAAGAAAGATGGCATTTGTGTTTGATCTTGATCCAAAAACAAGTGTCCATGAACTCCTCGCTTCCGGTAGGGCTCCTAACAATTGTCATTCTATTTATGTGTTGAAATATTATACATATTAGTCTTCATTGGCTTAAACTTGCACCTGTTATTAATAATCTTCCTTGCAGACGATTTTGGATGGGATGCTCGTATGAAAGTGGCAATGGATTTTGGCCGTCTCTTGAAATTATCTCATGAAAATCTGATCATTTATGGGTATATTGATGCCAAGGACATAATCTTCGATCAGGTTCGCACTCAAATTTCGTTAGCCATTTTCATATTACATATATGCCTTTTTCCACGTGCCTAGCCTCTTTATTCATTTTTAGAAGGAATTTCAATCACTCTTGTTGAGTTACTGAATTTGTTGCAGGACTCGAATGCCAAGTTCTTTGATTTTGGTCTTCATCAACGTGTAAAAAACAAGGATGAGAAGATTGAGGTTCAATGCGTTTTTGACGATATTGGGTATATTGCTCCGGAGATTTGCGATTATACAGGTATATTATCATATTGTTGTGCCCTTACTGGGTCGTTCTCATACATCTGTTTGTTTTATTAACAGTTGATTACTAGCTCCCTGTATGCATTATTTGCAATTTGAATATGAACCTTTACGTTGTATTTGTATTTCACATTGACAAAGTAAAAGTCTCCACATCTAATGCAGAGAGAGATTCAGGTGCCAAAGTTGTTGAGCCATGAGTGTGAAGAATTTTTAGTGTCTATATCAGTACTCATGTGAAACTTGCGTGAGTCGGTATTCTGTTGTTGGTTTTTTCTACTTTATATGGTTTGGTGGATTGCATATGCCTTAGTTTTACTTGCTCGGTCCTGCTAGATAACTTCCGATTGTAGCACAAAGCTTTGAACATGTGCATTCATTTGCGACGTTCGAGATTAACCTTTTGATAATTTTGTCACGAAGGCCATGCATTTGATGCAAGTTTCATTTGTATGTGGTGTCTTCCGTGTTTTCTATTCAATATTAAAGGATAAAACGGGGAGATTGAAAGGATGATTTATAGTTTATGCTGGAATATTGAGAAAAATTGATGTTCCCCGTTTAAGCGATTATAATTATTCGTTTTTATAATTTTTGTGTCTAAATTTGCTATGATAAGATAACCATGTGGGATACCCTATTTCTCAGCTATACCACATAATTTTTGGTTCCCACCTGTATTCCATTTTAGATCCTATGAAGCTTTATAAATTTTAAAGTGTCTTGGTCCTTTGGAATTTGTATTTTGAATTTTTGCTTGAAGTCACATTTTTTTTTTAATTGTGCAGAACGTAAATGGTCAATGAAATCAGATGTGTTTTCATACGGCATTCTACTATTGAATCTGATCTGTAAGAAACAAGGGACTATTTGGAGCTGGTTTAAACAGATTAAAGATGGAGATAATCTAATCGTGAGCGATAGTTTTGAGGTAGATGAGCACACTAAATCTGGTATCATTGGTCTGGCAATGTCGTGTGCGAACCTGGACTGGACCTGTCGACCGGATATGGGGACTGTGGTCAAGAATTTGGAAGATTTGATTGGCTGAACCAAGTCGCTCAATAGTGGCTCGTAATAGGCTGGTAAAATTGAGCGACTATTGAGCGACTTGGTTCAGCCAATCAAATCTTCCAAATTCTTGAGTGTAAAATTGAGCGACTATTGAGCGACTTGGTTCAACTTTGGCTCGTAATAAAAGTATTATTTGATTGGCTGAACCAAAGCATTTTACAATAAAAAATACTAGATTTTTTTTATTTTTAAACGATAGAGCCAAAAATTATTCCGTCCTCATGTTGCACCCTAAAAAGGATTGTAACCGAAGGCCAACTAGCCCGAAAACCACAAACAAATACGAGACGGTCGCACCACATGTGCCCTAGAATAAACACAAACCAAGTCCAACAAAGAAAAACACTATAACAAATGGTTTTTTCCAACTGTACATGTGGTTGGCTTTGTACTGTGAGCCTCTCTTAGCAAAAGGGATAGTTAAAGGGAGAACTGTAGAAGAAAAGGTCTGTGTGTGTGTGTGTGTGTGTATGATCACATTTTCAGCAGAATGTGTTTATTTGTTGAATGAAATTGAGTTTCCTAATAAATGTGCCTGCAAATCTGCACCATTACTCTTTTTCCTTGTTTTCACTTTTTCTGTTTCCTTTTCTTTTCATGCAAACCAATATAGTTCTCACTCTACTTGGGAAGAATAAGCATAAATGTAGCCCATTGCGGGCCTTTTTTCCCTGTCCACCATTCTTAACACACGAACTATAGGGCCGAAAATTTTTAGAATTCTCAAGACATTATTCCAAAATCGAATTGAAAAAATGATTTTGGTAATTTTCACCCCACCGGCTTCTTTCTTCCATTGACTATCTTCCCATTGTCTTGACCGGAACATGTCTCTCAATTTCTCTTTCAATATTTGCATTCTTTCAAGTGTGAGAAAGGCCGTAGTAAACCTTGTGACACCGGCTCGAACAAGTTCCTTCTCTCCGGTGAAATGTCTCAACATATTCACCACACCCAGACGGACATAAATATAGGCATTCACACTCATTGCCTTCTTCAATGTGTCTTTGATATAAGGCAACTTGCCTATATCCTCCAAAATCAAATCCACACAATGCGCCGCACATGGAGTCCAAAACAAATGAGGCCTTTTGTCTTGTAGCAATTTTCCTACAAGAGAAAATTTCAACAATTTAACAATGATGGGACATGAAACCAAACAATCAAAATGAATTAAATAACATGTAATTTAATAGGTAATAACTCACCGACAAGCACCATTGCACTAGCATTATCCGTAACAACTTGGATAACATTTGATTCACCAATACGCTCCACAAATTTATCAATAAGCTCAAACATCTTCCTTCCCGTCTTCACATATGAGGAAGCATCAACGGACTCAAGAAAAACCGTACCTCTAGGAGAATTCAACAAGAAATTGATCAAAGTTCTTTGCCTCTTATCCGTCCAACCATCACACATCAAGGTGCAACCGTATTTTGCTCATTCTTCCTTACATAGTTTTATATAATCATTATCCACATTCTACACCGCTTTACTAAGGAAAGGCACCCTCGCTTCATACATACTAGGTCCTTGAAGACCAAAACCATATTGGCCAATATGATTTAACATGTTTTGGAAGCTTGGATAAGTAAGAGCATCGAAAGGGATGGCTACATCATACATCCACTCGAAAATGGCCATGCATACTTTCACTCTAAACTCCTTTTTCCATGCCTCATTAATGGTTGTTTGTTTTCCCTTGTCCGCGGTCAAATACATATCCATCGGCCCGTTTGCCTCGGCCTCTTTTGCGAGTCCATAGTCATTGTCATTGACATTGAACTTGGAGGTGTAGGAGCCTCTCCATGATCTTCATGTTGAATCCCATAAGTTGGTGCGGATATCTTAAAATTATTTTTTTTTTTGCCACCATTGCCGCTTTATTCAACTTGTAGCTTTTTATTTCTTCCACTACCCAATGCGGAGCTTTAGTACAAACCTTCACACTAGTACTACCTCCGGCAATATGATACTTGGCACGACTAATGCCCCCTTTTGTAATAGTCCCACAAAATTTGCACTTTAAATCATTTCTACAATCATCCTTAACCATCCAAACATATTTCCATTGTGGATCATTAGAAGGATATTTAGGCGGAGCTTGAAGATTATCACTAGATTCGGCCATCTCGAGAATAGAACCTAAATCTTAAATTACAAACAAAATCTCAGAGGGGTTTGCGAAAAGTTTTGGGAAAACGTCAACGGCTGCTGACCTATTTGTCAAAAAGAAATAGAAAGCGCTATAAAAAATTGTCCTCTCCAGCCAGCGTCTTGTCACCATGGGAGAAAAGCGCATGAGGAAGTTGAGAATAAGGTGGCCTTGATCTTGTTTGAGGTAATGCACAGGACTCTGCATCCTAGGAAGTCAGTGCGAGTGGGTCTAAGCCAATTACTTTTTCACAGAGAGGGTTACGAGGATCAATGAGTCAGAGCTGCTACGAGCGAGGAAAAGATAGGTTTTGGTCTATCGTTCGGGTTACTCCCCGAGCAACCCTCTGACGCTTTAATAAGATAAGTAACAAGGGAATGAGTATCCGGTTGAGGAATAGAAAGACCTGAGGAAAGGGATCGGTTCGCATATAGTATTGCAGAGGAGTAGAGGCAGTTGCCTCCGTTACCTTTTCTTTTGGGAGGCCTACGCCCCATAGAAACTGTCTACCTGAGACTGTCCCTCGGCCCGTAGGTCCTGACACAAGGTTAGAATTATAGCTCTTCCATGCCTCCATAGAAACCCCAATAGGAAGAGTGAGCCTCCAGTGGTAAAGAAATCCAATTCGCTTCTATGACTTCACTTCGCTTCGAAAAGTTCGTTCCCTTCCCCTAACCCGAGCAGGGGTTTTCTTTAACTGATCAACAACAGGATCATCCACCTTGACAGGAGAGGGCAACTGAGCTCGTGGATCTCCTGATGGCCGGTAGCTGCCTTCTGCTCTCCTTATTAGTGCCAGCTCCGGGAGGTAGGAAGTCAGTCTTCTAGAAGTCGCATTACTGGTCGATTCCTAGATGAAAGTCTCCTCCCTCCAGTCAAGGAGTTTGTTCTGATCTCTCAAGAAGTCTGCTCTCGGTGGAGGGACCAAAGGTCTTTGACCCAACAAACTTTTCACTTTCTACTATGGAATACTTTTCCGATCTTTCTCGACCGTACATGAAATCCGAACTCCCTTGCTAAAAGGATCAGATCTTTTAGCCCTGGCTTTCGGGGATGACGACATAAACTCTTACTTACTAGAATTCTGGACTATTCCTTTCGCGTGTCCCCCTCCCCGGCTCCTCTGCGCCTTACGGAGCGAATGCTTGTTTCCCGAATCAGATCATCCCTTTGGACTAAGGCGAAGGCCTGAAAAAGGAGTATAAACTCTAACTATTGGCACTGGTCTAGCCGGGGGAACTACTCACAGAGACTTTCGTACGAGCACACCTCAGACATCTCGACCGGGAAGACCTCTTACGAGAGTTGCTTGCCTTCTACCTTGGTGTATCGTAACTCCTTGGGCACACTCGGTACTCCTTGAGACTACGATCTGCCGAGACAGAGGATTGCGTGGGTTTCGTAATACCCCCATTACTTCTGTTGGGTGTTCTCGAACATTAAGGTTAAGTATGCCGTTCGGTCCTTTAGCCGTGCGTATTGTTCTCGTTCTACTTCATGTAAGTGGCCTAATTGATCCGCCCTGTGGGCATCCATTGTCCGAGCTCTCGAAAAGGGTCCTACATCCGTCGGTAAGACCGAACTGAAGAAATGGAAGAACTCCCAACGGATCAGGTGTGGGTAGTAACAGACCTATCCTCTTTTCAAACCACTCTTCACTCCACTGTGTGAAGTACTTGTTTGCCGAAGCGGCTCGTCATCTTCAAAGGGTTCCCAGACCCGGGCTAAGTCCTCCAACATCATTTTAAAAATTGTTATAATATTTGAAAACAAAAAGAGGATGAATATTAAATTACAAACAAAAAACATCACTTTAATAATTATTATAATATTTGAAAAAAAAAGTAGCAAAACACATCCAACTATTTATTTGTTCAGTAACAGAAAAAAGAAAGTGTTAAATTGTGGATGTGGATCAACACTACTTTAATATTTAATTATAAACAAACAAAACAAAAGTAATAAGGATGCTGGCCTTTATACTACAAAAAAGAAGCAAAACAAAAGTCAAATCAGATGGAGCTTGAAAGAATTGAAGGTGACGAATTTTTTTCTTTTCTGTTCGTTGTCCCGTTCCCGTAAAAGCCTAGATCTAGGTGATGAAGGAATAAAGACAGATTTTAACTTTATTCTCTCTCAAAGTCGCCTTCGTTTTCTTTTACAGTTACACGCTTTCTTTTNGCCCTTTAACTTCTCTAAAAGATGTCGAGGCGCGCCACAAAGTCGCCTCTCGCCACGCAAAAAGGCGAGCCGAGGCGACACAAAGCGAGCGCCTCGCGAACACCCTCGCCTCAAGCAGTGGCGAGGCGATATAACCATCGCCTCGGTCGCCTCGCCTCGAGGCGTCGCCATTTTAAACTATGGGTCGTGGGCTAGCAGACTTCGGCATACGTCAGTTGCAGGGGCGCTCATTGGACTCCATTACCAGGCCGCACCAGACCCTCTCCATTGTCATTCGTTGCGTCCGCAACCCCGAAGCCCTCTGCCTCTTTCGACTTTAACTCAGAAGAACGGAGCAAAGTTGCGTAAAAATTTGATGCAAGAGGATGATAGAAAGAGATTCAAAAGAGATCTGATTTTCTTGTCAAAGATATGAAAAAAGATTTGGTAGATTTTGTGAGATTTTGGGTAGAGACGTCTGACACACACTATCGGGAAAGAGGTGGAAAGAAATGAAGGCACAAGCGTAAAATGAGGACCAATGCAGGGGTGTTTCGATAAATCAAAAAAGTGACACATGTCAAACTCTCAATCCCTCATACTTTTTCTTATATGTAAGAGAGAGAGATATAGATAAATATAGTGTAAATACATTATTCATTAATAAATGATCAAATTTACAAAATGTGATATGTATATCATATATTTTATGATTATAAATACAATATTCATACATATAATTTATTTTATTTGCATTTGTGCATATGCACGGGGATTCCAAACACACATCTCAATATAAAAATAATACAACAAGGTGAAGCAAGTTAGTCAAGGCATCAACAAAATCAAGCAAGCCCATATTATTTTCAAGAGTTGGTTGACAAAGGAACCGTTTATTTATTTGCAATCAAAAGAAAAAATTATACTTACCAATGTCTCTCGGAATCTCATTCTCGGAGAGAATGACAACACTGCCAATTTCAATGGGTGGGATTTCTATGTTTGATAAAGATTGAAGTAAATCTGCACGTATCAAATTTATTTTATTAGCACATGGAAATAGTAAGATAAAGTAGGTGATATAACCAAATAAATGCCCCATTTTTACATAGTTATAGTACCCAAATTTTGGCAATATGCTATAATAGTATTTTATTTGTTTACCTCCGCTCATCTTCCTAAACTTTGATAGTATCCTCCTCATCATCTTTACATACGCAAACGCAATGAGGCTATTAGTATGAGAGGTGAAGAGAGGAGGTTCTGGGTTACCACCGTTAACTGTGAAGAAGAGAGGTTCTGGGTTGAGATACGCCACCCTCAGACACCCTACGAAAAAATTGTGTTAGTATCTTAATATAAATAGAAAAACATTGGAAAAATAATGATTGTTTCTCGATCAATATGAATAATAAAACACATTATATATCAAAGATTGAAGATGAAAGTTGGAAAAGCAGATGAAAATCAATGGTCACTACTAATAACAAGTATTGAATCTATTCAAAAATAGGTGAACTAGATCCTTAATCCTTTGCTTCTCATCCTAGCTAGTATATTCTTGTTCCAAACCTGTCACTAGAAAATAACTTTTTCTTCCATGGAAACGAGCCTTTGGGTGGAAAAACTAGATCAAAATGATGAACATTATGGGCATTGAGAAAAGCTGAGTGGATGGTATTATCAAGGATTCTTAATTCTGTCTGGAAGAATATTACTAAATCTTTCATTTATGCAAACTTATCTAAAGATTTATGAGATAACATTTTCCAAAGCTTTGGAGAAAAGAATGAATCTATGAAACATAACTACGGAGAAAAATTTCTATCTTATCTCACAGGTATAGCACAATTATGGAGTAGATCAATAAGCTAAAGAAGCTTCGGATGAGTATGCATGTATTGTGCCAATTGAAATCACTGATTGCGATAGACGAAGGGTGGTTGTTTAGAAGCTCGTCCAATTTATGATGGCAATCAATGACTATGACTATGATGATAATTAGAAATATCAGATAATGATGCAAGATCCTCTTGCCAATTGTTAAGGACACTCGAAATTTCATAAAATACAAAATTGTTATAAAGAACTCACAGATGAACACAATGAGACTTTTATATTTTTTAAAAGTTTAATCTAGATAAATAAATATAAATAATTAAGATTATAAGTATCAAAATTTAATACATAAATATTACCGTGCTGTAATATTTTCTGGTCTTGCGTCTGAACGGTCATAGTTGTCATCCTCTGAACATTAAATAAAAAATAAATGTTACAGAAACTTGGGGTTTGCAACTAGGGTTTGCAGTTTAACGTTACCTGGAGGCGGAGAACTTGGGGGAACCTTGGCGGCGACGTCGGAGAACGGCGTCGACGGCACGGCGTCAACAGGACGCGGCGTCGACGAAGGCATAATGGGATAAGTCGGGGGGCTTATCCGGGGCTGCTGGGAAGGCGAGGCTGCGACAACGGAGGACGGCCTCAACAATGGCGGCCTGGAAGGGACGACGTCGACAGGAGGCGGCATCAACGGGACGGGGATAAGACGTGGGAGGCGTTGCTGCGAAGACGGAGGACGGGGTCGGGGACGCTCTCGAAGGGGACGGCGTCAACGGGCCGGCGCGTGGGAGGCGAAAGAGCGACGACGGCGTCGACGGGGCGGCGCCCCGGGGACGTTCTCGACGGTGGCGGCCTCGACGGTTGTGACCTCAATGGTGGCAGCGTCGACGGGAGAGTCGACGCTGGTGGAGGCCTCGACGGGAGGCGGCGCTGAGGGTTGATGGCGTCCAGGGGCAAAGGGGCAGATTGCTACAGTGTCGTATATCGTATAAAATTTGGGGCGGGTTGTTACAGTAAGGGGAGGGGGAGGGACATAGTATTGACCTTATACCGCCTCTAGTATTTTCCTTTATTATTATATATATTAAATAAATATCATCCAAATTTACTAATTTATTAATTATTCTATTTATCTGGCGAATTTTAGCTTTTCTGTTTCTACTTACTAGTATGAGGACAGGCAAAAATTATATTACAATTGTATTATGACTTACAAGATGGTTACTTGTGTGAGAGGAGGATGGAATTTACCCATGCTCACAAGATGGAATTTACCTTTTATTTGTTTTACCTTTCCAGCAAATCAGGATGTTGTACCATCATACAATTTCCTCCTCTCGCACAAGTAACCATGGGTAAAACTGCCCTCACCATTTAATATAATTTCCTCCTCTCGCACAAGTAACCATCTTGTAAGTCATAATACAATTGTAATATAATTTTTGCCTGTCCTCATACCTCATACTAGTAAGTAGTAACAGAAAAGCTAAAATTCGCCAGATAAATTTACTAATTAATAAATTAGTAAATTTGGACGATATTATTTAATATATATAATAATAAAGGAAAATACTAGAGGCGGTATAAGATCAATACTATGTCCCTCCCCCTCCCCTCACTGTAACAACCCGCCCCAAATTTTATACGATGTAAGGCACTGTAGCAATTTGCCCCTGGACGCCATCAACCCTCGCCGCTCCCGTCGACGCCACCAGCGTCGAGGACGCCACCAGCGTCGACTCCCCCGTCGACGCCGCCACCGTCGAGGACGCCACCGTTGTCGACTCCCCCGTCGACGCCGCCACCATTGAGGCCGCAACTGTCGAGAACGTCCCCGTTACCGGGGCGCCCCGTCGACGCCGTCCTCCGTCGTCGCTCTTTCGCCTCCCCCGCGCTGGGCCGTCGACGCCGCCCCATCGACGCCGTCCCTTCAGGCCGCCACTGTCGAGACCGTACCCGTCTGCACCGTCGACGCCGTCCTCCGTTGTCGCAGCCTCGCGACCTCGCCTTCCCAGCAGCCCCCGACTTATCCCATTATGCCTTCGTCGACGCCGCGTCCTGTTGACGCCGTTCTCCGACATCGCCGCCAAGGTTCCCCCAAGTTCCCCGCCTCCAGATAACGTTAAATTGCAAACCCTAGTTACAAACCCCAAGTTTTTGTAACATTTATTTTTTAATTTAATGTTCAGAGGATGACAACAATGACCGTTCAGATGCAACACCAGAAAATATTACAGCACGGTAATATTTATGTATTAAATTTTGATACTTATAATCTTAATTATTTATATTTATTTATCTAGATTAAACTTTTAAAAAATATAAAAGTCTCATTGTGTTCATATGTGAGTTCTTTATAACAAATTTGTATTTTATAAAATTTCCAGGCAAAGGATCTTGCATCATTATCTGATATTTCTAATTAATATCATAGTCATAGTCATAGTCATTGATTGCCATCAGAAATTGGATGAGCTTCTAAACAACCACCCTTCGTTTATCGTAATCCGTGATTTCAATTGGCACAATATATGCATACTCATCCGAAGCTTCTTTAGCTTATTGATCTACTCCATAATTGTGCTATACTCGTGAGTTAAGATAGAAAATTTTCTCCATAGTTATATTTCATAGATTCATTCTTTTCTCCAGAGCTTTGCGAAATGTTATTTCATAGATCTTTAGATAAGTTAGCATATATGAAAGTTTTAGTAATATTATTCCAGAGAGAATTAAGAATCTTTTATAATACCACCTACTCAACTTTTCTCCATGCCCATAATGTTCATCATTTTGATCTAGTTTTGCTACACAAAGGCTCGTTTCCATGGAAGAAAAAGTTATTTTCTAGTGACAGGTTTGGAACAAGAATATACTACCTAGGAGAAGCAAAGGATTAAGGATCTAGATCACCTATTTTTGATATAGATTCAATACTTGTTATTAGTAGTGACCATTGATTGTTCATCTGTTTCTCCAACTTCCATCTTCACTCTTTGATATATAATGTGTTTTATTATTCATATTGGTCGATAAACACAAACCAAGTCCAACAAAGAAAAACACTATAACAGATGCGACTACATACATAAATCACTATAATAAACCAGAGGCAGCATGGAGCTTACCTTTCCACTGTAGTGTAGTGTACCCATTTGTGTAGTGTAGTGTACCCATTTGTACTGCTTACCTTACCTTTCCTTTCCACCTTTCCACTGCTGGTACACGTTGACTATCGGATTCCAGCACAAAGAATTTCTCCTTTCTTCCGCCCGATCCTTAGGCCGGAAGAAAACCGATGCATGGACACGATCGTCAAAACCTCGTTTTTCGCCCATGAGAAGCATTTTGGCGAGCGGTGGGTCGAGCAAGAACCCAGAGCTGGTACATGGAATTGAGTTTATTCTCCTGCGGGGGAGGATCCATGAAGTCGAAATCGAGCAGATTTTCGATCTTGAGGAGTAAGACAACATTGCCGAGGTTTGTGCGCTGGATTTCAGGGACAGGGCTCGGAAACATCCATCTTGAGGTAGGCAGATTCGGTGAAGATGGGGAGGATTAAAAGCTTCGGCTAGGGCATAGCACGTGACCTCGATCTCGTCTTGGCCCGTCATGAAGATGAGTATGCCGCCAGGGGGGCTAGTGATGTGGATTGTTTAATGGCAGCTTCTACCTAGTCTTCGCAGGGTGTTTTGCTGTAGAGGATCTGGACCAGGAAAGTCCGTCACGGGATGTGGAATATGGGTACACTGCAAATGGGAGAAATAGTAGGACATTAGTAAAGCCATGTTTTCTTTTTTACTTTTTTTTTTTTTCGTTGTAACTAACCGAAAGGAGGGACTATTACCTCCCGAAGAAATCAGAGAATTTTTGGGCATTAAGGGTGGCTGATGTCACGATGAGCTTGAAGTCACGGCGCCTGGCGACGACCTTCTTAAGGATGCCAAATAGGACATTTGTGCTTAGGGATCGTTCGTGTGCTTCGTCCATTACAACAATGCTGAAGAATAAGAATGAGGATTGAATCGAGTTTGGATGTGTAAGAAAGGATAAATTCATGTCCAGACGTTGATGCACGGATTATAAAACACGTACCGATACTTTTCCAGGTCAGCATCTTTGAGAGTCTCCCTCAGAAGCACACCATCAGTCATGTACTGCAAAAGAAAGTAGAATAAGCAATTAACAAATTGTTCAAAATTCTAGAAGATTTTACAAGAGCTACGAGAATTACAGCTTAAAACAAATTAGTTTTTGTGGAACATGTCCATATATGCAGTTTTTCGTAACTAATGGGTAATGGCCATAACTCGTAAGTATGAACGAACAACCATCAAGCAAAAACAGTAAAGAAGGGCATATTTGAACAACGTAAAGCTAAAAGATAGATTGAATAAAAAAGTTGTACCTTAATGACAGTGTTGGGCCCAATAACATCCTCGAAACGTAATGCATATCCAACTTTATCGCCAGGTTCAGTTTCCATCTCCTCACTGACTCTTTTGGCAACTCTCATGGCAGCTACACGACGTGGCTGAGTGCAACCAACAATGCCATTGCTTGTGTAGTCATCCTCATGAAGATACTGCCAACAATTTATTGGTCAATCAACTGAAAAATATATACTCTTACTATCAAATGCTGCTAGTGGATACAGCAGACCACCGTACAAGAACATTATATGTAGCAAAGAACTGAAAGCAAGGAGAAAAAAGAAAGGAAAATAAATGATGATTCTTTTCGAAGGGTACCAATAAGCATTTTCTAATAGATATGAATCATAAATCATGATAGTCTCTCTACAATACAAGCTCTTCATGACTCTATGTTAGACAGGTTGAACAATTCATCAAAAAAAAATTTTTCTCCAGAAAGGCACAATTGCTTGTTTGATTTCATAATCCAACCAAATCATATTCGGAAAAAAGAGAGTATATAAACAACACACAACATGACATCAAAAATTTCACAAGTATGATGAACATATCGTCCTTAACATTCTCAAACTTGTTTGGACTTAAATACTCACAAAAGCATACACAGGGATTGAAAAGACNTTACAGGGATAAATTTGACTTGGTAGGCTCAAACTCTTTTCCAAATTGAAACAGCAATGACTTGGTAAGCTGAATAACAAGTTAAAAAAAAACCCTAATTCGAACATGAAGGGACTCTTAATTCCAAACAAAAAATACCCTAACTTGAACCAAAAGGGAGGTCACCAAAGCTACCTGATTTCAGATTCCGGCGAGATCGTTCGGTCGAGAGTCGTGAAGGGCGGCGTTGATTTCAGATTCCGGCGAGGTCATTCCGTTGTTCGGACGGCGTTCGGTCGAGGTCGTGAAGGGCGGCGTTCGAACGGGATGAATTTTTTGAAGGTGGTCGTGAGGTTTCAGAGCCAGAGCGAGAGCGGGGGAAAGAATTGTTTGAAGATGAATTTTGATTGTGAAATAAATTGAATTGGGGGAAAAAATAAGCCAAAACTGAGTTAGGGCTAAAAACGATGTTTTTTTTACAAAAGGCCAAAATTTGTGTTTTGTAAATTTTTATGGCTATTTAATGGGATTAACACTTTATTAAAGGTTTAAAATAGTGTTGGAAAGTGAAGTAACTTTGAGTATCATAGCTAATATTCAAAAGAAAATTTGATGAAAAATTTGTCCATAAACCTCAACTTCGGCATTCATCAAGTAAAAAACAAATGAGTGCAACAAAGTAATGGCCTCCTCATGCTATAAATAATTTTGAACGTTATTCAGAGATATACAACAGAAAAATAATACTATAGTTTCACCGTTGTGTTTTGGTAAACAATAATTATACGTATCTATTATAAAATATCCATGTTTCATATGTCTTGAGTTTTATTTCCAGCCATTTATATTTGTACAAATTTCAAGACAAATAAATCTTTAACTCAGAGTTTGTCTTTGTAGATAACTGAAGTTGCACATATGTTAGATTAGAATAATACACTATGTAATTATATGTTTAATCATTTTGTTCTCATAATGCAATATGTTATGCAATTCTATGCTCAATATAAAAAATCTTTAGAATGGAATTAAAAGACGTCTTAAACCATTTTGAAAGATCAGCCTTACTTAGACCATTTTGAAACATCAGTCTTACTTCAACGGAGAAATATTATTAGCCTTTTAGATATGATGGTGTTAACTTTTATTGGCTAAATTTCTCAAAAAAATTCAAACATTTTTAACTCAATCATTTTTTTAACTCAACTTTAATTCAATCTCACTATCATAAATATTATCAATATAATTAAATAATATCAATCAATCATTCTTACACACCATCCACTCACATAATTTTAACTAACTATCACTTCAAATCTTCTCTCTCCTACTTTATATCAAATCAACTTTTATCATTTTATTTTAAATATTATTCTAATATACCCACTAACAACTAACCATACCAATTTTTTCAAAATTAACCAAACCAAACAAAAAAATCCAAGCAAAACTAAAATTTTTTATATCCAATCATCCTCTTATTTTTTCTAATAGGTGTATCACACTAATATAGAAATCAATGACATTGCAGCCTTGCATTCTCTATGGAATATCCTACTTGATAATGTAGTCGGTGTCTCTTTCCTTACAAAAGTTTTTTTTAATTTGTAAAGTTTATACTTTCGCAGGGATAACATTGGCAACTTGTATTCTAAGATAATTTGAGTAAACTACAGAAGCCTTTGAAACACATAATCACTATTTCTTTACACGAAAATAATATCTAGTAACTTTTATAAGATATAACTCTGTACTAAGAGACAACATCATGAATTTTGGAATCTAGTAGCATTGTTTGTGAGATTATTCATAGACATTTTGATGGAGACGAGGCCGCGATGGCATTCTTGGATAAATTCGACAGGCTTCGTATTTAGTTGCATTACGTCCTATTTTATATTCATCCTTTATTTAGTTTCTTTAAGTATTTAAGTTGTTTTGGTAATTAAATAAATAATTTAGCTTAGAGCAGGTTTAGGAAAGTTGGAGTCTTTATATATATTGTGCTCTACGCTTGTGGAGGGGTAGATTATCATTAATTTTATCAGATTACGAGTTTCATCTTTTATTTCCCTTTCTTCTACTTCGCTTCTGCATCAGTTGGTATCAGCTGTCGGGACGATTCAAGATGCCGCCAAAACGAAACGACAACGAACGACGGGATGCCCATCTCGAAGATTTGGATCGCCGAACTGACGATCTAGGGTTCCAAATCGAGCGAGTGGACCGTCGTGTTGAAGGTCTTTTTGAGGGGATCGACGAAATCCGACTTGCTATCCGATCCATGATGAACGGCGAGCAGATGAACCGCGACACCCCAGGCCGGGGTGGTCGCAGCGGGTTTCGCAGAGGACGTGGCGGCAGAGGGCCGTTTGGGGCACCCCGAACGCGTTCGCCACGATCGCCGCACGGCCTAGACGACGGCGAGGAGACCCTGTCGGACGGCAACCCTTTCGGCGTTCGACGGGAGCAACGAGACGACGACCATGGCGAGCACCAGTCGAATTACCGGGACGACGATGGCTGGGACAGACCCCGCGGACAACGTCGCGCGACAGAGGGCGGCGACAATCGTTGGGAGTCCAGCTTTCGAATTGAGGTGCCGGAATTCTCGGGTGGGCTCGACGCCGCGGAGTTTCTCGATTGGCTCGCTGCAGTGGAGTCGATTCTCGACTTCAAGGAAGTGCCCGATGATCGGCGGGTCGGGATTATCGCGACGCGTTTTCGGGGACAGGCTGCAGCCTAGTTCATGCAATTGAAAGAAATACGGCATCGTATGGGTAAACCGAAGATTACTTCATAGGCAAAATTCCGTAAGCATCTCGAACATGAATTTTTGCCCTTTAATTACACCAGCCTTATTTATCAGAAATTTCAGACCTTACGGCAAGGATCGCGTACAGTTGACGAGTACACAGAGGAATTCTATCGACTCCTCACACGCATTGATATTCGAGAGACCACGGCTCAATTGGTGTCTCGGTATATTAGTGGTTTGAGGGTTTCAATTCAGGATATGTTGAACTTGTTTATTCCTGATTCGGTGGCGGATGCTCATCAACGGGCCGTCATGGTGGAACAACAACAAGCGAGGCGGTCTTCGAGTTTTCTTCCGGGATCGCGAGGAGGATTTAGCTCAGCACCTGCGGCTGCGGGTCGGACATTTGGGCCTGGGCTGTCGGCGGGTTCTTCGAACGCGGGCCAGGAGACGAACCGGGCTGCGGCTTCGGGCCTGGGCAACCACGCCACCTCAGCGGGTGGTTCGACGGGTCAACGTGCAACCAGCGGCTTGCGTTGCTTTGGGTGCGGTGAAGTCGGCCACCGGCAGTCGACGTGTCCGAAGGGTTCTACCTCCCGTAATTTGTTCACTTAGGAGACCGAGGCTATTGGTGGGGATGAAGCTTACAACGGACCCCCGGTCTTTGACGAGGAGCCAAAGGTGATCGAGGAACACTTTACCGGCGACGTTGGACGGGCCCTTGTTCTGCCGCGGTCATGTTTGGCACCTCGGGACTTAAGTAGTCCGGTTGAGCGACACAATCTGTTTGAATCAACGTGCACCGTTGGTGAGAGGGTGTGCCGATTCATTATCGATTCTGGGTCTTGCGAGAATGTCTTTGCTAAGGACGCAGTTGAGAAGCTCGGGCTTGAGACGGAACCTCATCCACAACCGTATACTCTTGCGTGGATTCAAAAGGGCAATGCGGTCACTGTGGACCGCCGCATGTTGATTTCTTTCTCCATTGGACCGAGGTACCGTGATCAAATTTGGTGCGATGTTGTGCCCACGGACGCTTCTCATCTGCTTTTAGGACGTCCTTGGCAGTACGACCGTGCCGCGACACACGGCGGTGGTGTTAAGGTCGTCTTACATCCGGGACCGCCTCGTCCTTTACCGCCATCGTCCGTGTCTTCTCCGGTTCTGTTTCTATCTCGGGTCGCCGTTGAGGAGGAGAGGCGTGTGGCTCCGGTTGTGTTATTATTGTTCGGGGCCGACTCTGTTTTTGACAATGTCACCCCTGTTGCTCTTCGACCTTTGTTTGCTGAGTTCTCTGATGTATTTCCTGAAGAGCTTCCGGCGGGTCTGCCGCCTTTGCGAGACATCCAACACCATATCGATTTGATGCCAAGTGTCTCTCTACCTAACAGGCCCCATTATAGAATGAGTCCGGCAGAACACGAGGAGTTGCGGCGGCAGGTGGAGGAACTTCTCCAGCGCGGGGTGGTGCGGCGAAGCTTGAGCCCGTGTGCGGTGCCTACCCTTCTCATTCCCAATAAGGATAGTTCATGGCGCATATGTGTTGATAGTCAGGCTATCAATAAAATCACAGTCCGTTACCAATTCCTTATCCCTCGCCTTGACGACTTGTTGGACCAGCTTCACGGTGCGACTATTTTCACGAAGTTGGATCTTCGCAGCGGATATCACCAGATTCGAATCCGTCCGGGCGATGAGTGGAAGACCGCTTTTAAAATACGGGAGGGGCTCTTTGAATGGATGGTCATGCCGTTTGGGTTGTCTAATGCACCCAGTACTTTCATGCGAGTGATGAATCAGACTCTACGGGAGCTCATTGGTAAGTGTGTTGTCGTTTATTTCGATGATATTCTTATCTATAGTCGGACAGTTGAGGATCACTTA